TTATTTGTACACTCTCCATCGTGTTGGTTTAACGGTCCGTCTAAATAGATGTATAGTCAACACTCGGACCTCAACCCTCATCCAACCGCCTCTCGGATGATGCCGCATATCTTGATATTGATCGACCCGATGCGGGAAATGGCATCGCCTTCGCCTGCGCGCGGCAAGCTCGACGAGTTTTTCGAATAGCTTACAAACAAAGCTAATATTTGTCGACGAGGGTGAACAATAAAAGCATTTCATTTACGTACCCTTACCCTTCTTTCACGTCTCGACTCGACGATGTCGATTTCTTTCCCAGTTCTTTCCAGCCCAAAACTAAAGCCCAACCTCCAACCGCTCATCCTATTATTCCCACAGCAATCAAATATATTCCTTATAGACGTAGAATATAAGGATTGTTTTGGTATGGTCTGCCCACCACCATTGCTACCTGTCCTAGGCGGGACCTTCCCCCACTTTTTGGCTTGCAGAACTCTTGCGCTGAACGTGAATGGTAGAAGGGAGTTGGCGATGACACCCGCGAAGGATGGTGGGGATGTAATCTATAAACGCGTCGCGAGCTTCTCGAATTGTCATGGCAACAGCGCGCCGAGTTCGATGCAATAAAATAACTTCGGAGCGCAGCGCGTGTTTTGCGTTGTTACTTCGCTCCGTGGGCCTCACCTTCGTGAGGAAATTGCAAAAACGATTAAATGGAATGGAATTAAATGAAAAAAAAATTCACTCCTTACAGACAAAAACTATTAAATTAGTTTTTTCTCTTTTTTGAATGCGTGTTGAGCGGTATTTTACTCTGCAAATAGATAATATTTTGCACGTGTCAAGATCGAGCAATATCTATCTATCCAGCGAGTCCTAACGCGATCCAGGCTCAAGTTTCCCCTGGAGATGCTGTCATTGAAATTCTCCTCGCCCGGTAATTCCCGCACCGTCGTTCTTTATCAGCATCGCCACCATCTGCGGCCATCAGCGCGTCATTTACATAAAAAGGTTAGCCCAATATAAATTGGCACTGAAAATACACTCAACTAAAACTAGGCAGGCAGAAGAAGAGAAGAAAAAAAAAACACTCTCCAGCGCGAAAAATTTTAACAAGATGAATAACATTAGTTTAAATTAGTTTAGCGGAAGTTTCGGGGTGCTCATTAGTGGTCGTGCGTTGCGGCTTTTTTAGGGGTGACAAAAATGAAATAAGAAGCAAGGTGTCGCATATCATAACCTAACCTCTTCGTAGTTAAGTTTGCAACTTAAAATTATCTATGTGAAAACTTTGGATGCTTATGATTAATGTGGTTAATTTCACAAGATTTATCACACAAGTCTATTTTTAGTTTTATTTTGTACCCAAAAATGGAAATAATAAGTACCTACTATATTTTTGATACGTCATTAGTTATGTTTGAGGCAGCGCGCGGTTGGTCGAAGACGTAAAAAGTGGTAAAATGATGAGTATATGGTTCGTGCGGGCACAACGCCCGGCTTTGTTGCCGAGTGGAGAGGCTCTTTTGCCATCTTTGCTGGTTTCACAATTTCTTTTCGTACCGTACGTGTTTAATCTTTACGACTTGTAACGCGATAGTCGCGTGGCACGCCAACCAGTTAGCGCGCTAACCAGCTAAACGCATCCGAGAAACACATCCACCCGGCGTGGACCCAAGCTTGAGGCAGTAATTTTAATCCAAGGTGCAGTTGCATTCGCGAATTTCGCTATGATTTCACCCGTTTGATTGTAATAATCATAAGTTACTAGGAGCTGCACGTAAAGCAAATCTAAAAGGTTGTAAATCTCAAAAAGGGTTAAGGGTTTTTCTAAAAGTATATAATTTTAGATAAGAAAATAAAGGTATATCATGATTTTATTTCAAATTTGGTAAAAAATCATGTTTGTAGGTAATACGCAAAAAGTTATTTTGATGAAATTAGGGTTAAAATACCTTTATATTCCGTTGTATGCAGTTTGATTTTTCTTAGTTTTCTTTAAATAAATTAACAAAAAATTCTAAATGGTTGAGGTTGAGTCAATTTTTGAATTATTTTTTATCTTTTTTCTTTTAATGGTCAGTTCCCAACATAAAAATCATGTTTTTACATCAAATTTACCAAAAAAATCAAATTTGTATTATTATTTTGTATTCTGTAGAAAGTAGAGCTAAAAACCCTTTCAATCCCACGGTATGCAATTTTTCAAGGTTTTACCCAAATAAATGAAGAAAGTTTTCGGTATGACTTCAATCGTTCAATTGTAATAATAAATTTCTAAAATTTAATTTAAAAGAAAACTCAAAAGGGTTAAAGGGTTTTGGAGTCAATTTTGTGTGATTGTACAATTTGTGACCTTTTAATGGTCAGTTTGTTCCAATTTTTTTACCTGTGACTTGATTTCAATAGTAAAAACATGTTTAACATGATTTTACATCAAATCAAGCAAAAATTCATGTTTCCATTACGCAAGAACCCTTTTTGTGGAAAGTAGGGTAAACATATAAAAGGTACTGATCCTATACAATCGATTTTCTTGGGTTTACTCAAATAAATCAAGTTTTTACCTGGTTTTCTTCAAAACCATTGTTAACAAAATTTAAATAAACTAGTACCTACTTGATTCTCGACTCAAAAAGGGTAAAAGGTAAAAATCTCCAAGTTTACTTATTTTATTAAATTTTTGCAAAAGGTCAAAAGGGTGAATTTTTTTAACTTTACCTCTGGTCTACCGCAAACCCAAGCGATTTATTTGCTTACCCTAAAAAATACAAAGAAAAGAGGCACGAAAGTCAAGCAGAAAATTTGACGTTTAGGTAAAAATCTTCAAGTGCACAGATTTTATTTGCTTTAGCACTTCTTAGACCACACACTCCAACCCTTTTCACCCTTGTATAATTTTTGACAAAAATAAATATTACACATTTTAATTTTGTGCATTTCAACTCGTTTTAACCCATTTTAACCAGTTTTACCCATTCCCACGTAAGAATAACATCGAAATTCTCACGATAATTCCAACTTTACAATCCGAACACGATAATTACAACGAAATAAACCTTAATTGGCTTGTTGTACTGTTATTGTTTGAATGCATGCTTTGCATTTTTTTCGACACAAACTTTACTTAACTCTCGCGAGATGCACGGTGTTATATCGTCGCAGCATATTTATGCCTCCCCGTAGTTGACACGTGCTCGCCGTAAAAAGTATCGTGTGTCCCTGATAATTACAATAACTTAAAAATGGATAAAATTACACTATCTCCGAAACGCATCCGAACGCCTGAAGTGCACTGCACGTCTTTTATATCATTATTTATATACGGTTTTTATTGTCAAACGCGTGGATAAGCAGAAATAACTAGAAAATTTAAGATGCAAAGTGTTCATTTCAAGTGACAAATATAGAGCGAGGAATTTTCACTGGAAAAGGGTTGAATTGGATTTTGAATAGATACACTTGAAGATTTAACGAGTGCATGAAATTGTAACTTGTGTAACTTATAAGGTGCTTTATAGTTCCTCATGCAGGAAGTTTTCAAACAACTTCAAAGAGGAAATGAAATAAAATGAAATTTGATCGTGTTAAATTCCCAACTCTTTTTTTTTCTATAAAAAAATTTGGTTATTTTTGGATGATTGTGAATTTTAGCCTATGCTTTGAGTTCATTGATGATTTCCGAACATATTGTCGCGTCATGCGATAACAAAACACATCAACACTCGTCGATAAGTCCGAATCCGTTTCAATTAAGTGCCGCATCCACATATTGCGCTTTTTGCTCGCTCCCTGGATGCACTGGGGCACTTGAAGTGCAAGTCGAGGGTTCATTATTCCAACACTCCCTCTGTTAGGCCCCCCGCACGGCTCTAGTTACGAACGCGCGCCGCCTGAAACAACGCATTGTTCGCGAAAAAGATGAGCATCCGATTTACTCCCATGTGGCCAAACACCCCACGACACACTCGAACCAAATATTATTCATTGTTATTAGCCCTGAACGACATAGGTTTTGGGGCCTGCACTAGACTAGCACATGTTTGTCGGAAGTGTTTTAAGTCTGTTTGTCAATGACCATCGTTCGGGGAATGCATGTCAAGAGGGTTTTTACAAGTTCAAAACTTAAAATTAAAACTAGTAATGTATTAATTATTATCCACCCATTCTCGAGGGAATTGACGCGACGGTCATCTGTGTATCTGAGTAAGTGTACTGAGTGAATGTTCGAAAACAGATGATTTTAAAATTGATGCAATGTGTATCACAACACGTTTTACCAAGAAGAATAAACTTAAATTTAAGTACCAACATAATATTTAGGAATTTAACGCCCTAGTATTGTATTATCTGCTAAGGGATCTAAAGAATTTCCTGTTATCCATTTCAGTTCCTGTTTTGGCAAGTTGAAATTACAACCAGTAGCTAAAAACTGCTCAGGAATGCTGAAATTCTTAAAAAATAGACTTATATTTACAAAAACTGCGTATTTTATGGGGTATTTACCTTTTCAAAACGAAAATAATTCCTAGGGAAGGTTTTGAGTTACCCAAAATGTAGATATCTACTAATTCCATCATTTTTGACTCAATTTACAAATATTTCGCAATACCAAGACCCAAAAAGATGTTTTCTAAGATAATTTTTACCGAAATGTATGTTTTTCTGAGTCCATCCTACCTTGCAAGATGAAACTGTATCATTGGTTACGAGTTGCTCCGAAATTGCCTTTCGCCTTTCGCTTGATAGCCACTAGTTCATTCCGGCAACCACCAGAGGCGAACCGGATTCAGAGCATGAGCATGAGCCGCGGATAGCGAAACTTGGGTAGGCCTGAAACTCGCCCTGCGCGATTGCCACCACTCCCTTCTCCCTCTCACTTTACTACCTTGTACCTTTCGTTAGCTGTCCTTATTGGGCGCATGCCTACTACTGTTGATGCTGTTTCGAAGCGTCCGACTCAACGCACGTTTGGAATCGGAATCGGAGACTCGAAAAGCATCGGCGGTTCAGTCGGTCCGACGCCGTTGGTGAGTGTGAGTCGAGTGCGAGCGTCGAGAATTCGATTTTAAATATAATTTACACCCCCGAGAGACTTGATAAGATAAAATATAAACTAAGATAAAATAATAATTAAAAACGTGTTTTTTGTCTTTTGACAAGACATATTAACATTTATAATCTGTAATGATTATTATTGTTTAAAGTGAGTTTTTTAATTTGAACTGAACGTTGTTTGCGATTGTTATCAGTGCGTTTTGTGAAGTGATAATTATTTTAAACAGAAAAACGCTTGCGATTGTTTTCTGGGCGTTAATTTAGCCTTGATGACTTTGACGTTGTTGATCATTAGCGAGCGATCGGTAACGTTGTGCACGAGGAGCGAAGGCGCGGGTTTCGCGGTGCCGACGGGTGCCGAAAAATGGTGACTTTAATGCCATACAATTTCATCAACTCGAACGGCAATCAGACGCGATGCACGATGATCGAAAAAATGTGCGAACCCAAGGTAACATCTAAGACTGATCATTAACAATATCACATTATGATTATCAACAAAAGCATCATGGCGGCCATTTTATAAAAATACTAACACAAAAGTAGTTACAACACGTTTTTATCAGTTTTTGCTTTCTTTTCATGTTTTAAATTTGATTTTCAGGTGAAACGAACGCGAATAGATACATCCTCCGACAATAGTGATAGAGATCGGTGAGTACATCAAACATTACATCATTCTAGGACACTGATAGCACAACAGGGTCCTTTGCTTTGACGCTGTGCGCGTTTATTATATTTGTCTAATCAACCATGCATCTGTTCAGTGTCAAAAGAGATTTTCTATGTGAAGTATATTAACACCTCTTGGAGATTTTGTCCCAAGTGGATCCCATTAAAACCCGAAATCTTTTTGAAAGATATTTTACTTTAAACTGGGATGAATACAGTTTTGATCTCTTCATTATATCGAAAAATAAAGTTAATAAATGTCCCCATTGGATAGGAAATTTATGAAGTCGCGAAAAGTCAACAATGTCATAAAATATTTAAAATATGTAACGCGTTGAAAACAACATTCGAAGGAATTTGCATAGCGTGCATTATTGCAATAATAATGCACAACTTGTTCATTTTTCCACTTTGTTATTACACATTGTAATAATTCAATGTTTTGCTTCAAAAATTTCATTAATTGCGTGTTAGTATAACGAGATGTTTATACGTAAATTAATTATCTTATCTTGGTTCACGGTATAGTTTTATTTCTCGATGTGTGTTTTTCTTTTTATTTTAAATGCACACCTTCGGTTTTCCGCTGCGCGTGTTATTGCGCCTTATTTAACAAAATTTTATGTCCGCTGGAACATCATAAAACAAGCAAGACCATAGTCGTACATCCACTTAAAGCAACGTAAAGCAACGTTTCCCAACAAATCGTTCGCTGCGTTCGCTGGAAAGATGTTATCGCCGCCGTGAGTACACATGGTGGAGGAATGTGTCTCGAGACGGAGCGCGACGGACACGCGGCCGCTGCTTGATATTTACCTCTTTTCTGGAATGGCAGGCAGAATGGTTGAATCGTATTCCTTCTTCTGCGTCTCTTGTCCAATGTCCACAGCTACATTCACACTTTCGTGACAACACAACTGAGACAACGAGCGGAGACAATCTGCGCGTTTATCTTCGAGGTTTTGTACGACTAATTTCGCTTGTTTTAATTAATTTTTTGTTGGGAAGCATAGATACTTAATGTTGCCATGTGGAAGATGAATTTTTTAACGAGAAAAAGAAAGAATCGAACTTGTAGTGCCACTAGTGTACAAAGTACTCATTTGTACAACTTTGGTAGGGTTATATTAATTTTCTCGTGTAACGACGAAAAATATTTTCATTTCTAGCAATTTTGGCATAGAATACTTTTTCTGCTGACATGACATCGGTGGTAAAATTTAAAATATTGTTGTAATTATGATCCCAACATTCCTACAAATTGCAATGCAGATTTCTATAACTTAAGCACAATTTTTCAGCTAATTTGTTGGGGTGCACAAGCAGTTACTACAAAATCATTAAAACATAACACAAGTGAATACAACATCGCGACGCGGAATTCATATTTAGACTTCAGGAAATATTTGCCGACATTTTGAGTAATTGAGTTTAAAACCAGTATACAAATGATTAGACAGATGTCGAACCGCAAAAAATCGCAACATTTAGTTATTATTTGTTCCTCTGTCGTATTTTGATTTGCAAATTGTTCAGTTGTGTTTCATATTGCACCATTTTATTTTTGCTTGTTTTTATTTTGTTTTGCATGCGTTATTGGCGTCCAAGCTTGAATCAAAACATCAAAATAAAAGAAATATATTCCCTGCGACTTTCGGCCCAAGATGCACAATATATTCGCTTAATCAGTTGAATTTTTAATATCGTACGTGACGCAAGTATTGTTTTTATCACGATTAAAACGCCGAACAACGCTCTATTCATCGCTAATGATTCACGTTTAACGTTCATTTTTTGTAAGTCAATAAACATTCAAAATGTTAAAAAAAGCAACAACGATTTATACATACAATATTTGCATAAGTACGTATTTGCATGTCCAGACAAGTCAAATCTTTGCATTAATCTCAAATCGCGAAACTCGAAACAAAGTTTATTAGTCATTTCGCACATGTTCGATTAAAGTTGCGCAAAATTTCAAACCGTTTAACTGTTAGGTTTAAACATTGGAATATATTGATGCTAAAAAATGTTGAGCAACGCGTTTTATTAGTGAGTATTATTTATTATTTGTATTTGTTGGTGTGTATCGATTTTAAGAACATGCAATCTTTACTTTATCGGAAAGTATTTTTATGAAACTGCATTTTATTTGGAAAGCCATCAATTTTATTACTTTCATATTAGCTCTGCGCATTGATTAGTTTTTATTGATCCGCACCGAATTACGAGTGAATAAAACTTAGGTATAGGTAAATGTAATAAAATATATTTTACTTTCTGTCGAAGCTAAACTCAAATAAATAAAGAGATATCTTAGTATATTGTGTAATACATAAAATATAAAGAAGTACGCTTGATATGAATCATTAAAATGCAATTTTTGCAATTAGTTATGATTTTCTTGGCCTATCAACAACGATCTAAATGAAATGAACACAATTTCTTCATATGCTTAAAAAATAGTAACTTTAAGCATAATAATTGGAATAAATACTAATATTAAGCAATACTGAATCGAAACATTGCTAAAAATATGTTCTGAACAAATGTTTTTCAAATTTTGTTCTGATAATCCAAAAATTCTATTATTCCCAAATAAAAATTATTTTCTGTATTGTTATGTAACATTTAATAAATTACAAACTAATTGAAGGCGGAATTACAAGACACTGCAATAACATCAATCAACCTCACGACATTCATTCTCAAATTAAATAAATATCGCAGCGAATGTTTCGTTTCTCAACGTGGGTGTCTCGAACGACTCGCGTTGTCACGACACGCATTAGTTTCGACCATTTTTATTCTCATTTTATAAACCACATTGCTTCTACCTTGTGGGAAAGTTTCACTGATACCACAACAATCGAATATATTTAATACATCCATACATTTAAGGCGAAGGCGCCGGGTGTAAATCAAAACAGCCTACCAAACACAAAATACAAAACTAAAAATGTGTTACACACGTCGCAATGGAGGTGTTGTCGCGCGCGCATCGTAAATTTAATTCGTTATTGTGACCACCTAGGTGTAGCTAACCTCTTCTACTCGTACCTGTGCTCTTGACAAATATTCATTCATTCATTGCAACGGCACGCAAATCACACAAGTGTTTTTCATCACGTTGTTTATTAACACACTTCGGTCATCGCTGTTTGAACAAGACATGTGTATGCAAAATTCACAATGTGAAAATGGCAAGACGCTAAGCATAAGAAGTTGTCTTGTTGGTTTTCATGACCAGTAGTTGGGCGCTTTGGATCGTTTAGTGTCACATAACTTACGGATGCACAATGGATCGGAACGGAGCCGCGTCGGGGGTTCTTCACTCACAATGCAGCATCCTCACAATACAATAATAGTTTCTCGGAGAGAGAAAAGAGCAAACAGCATCGCGCCTGCACTGCGTGTGTGCACATGTGCATTTGACAGGCAAAATCAAAATACGAAGAATAGGTTGAAGAGATCTCTATGCTTCGGCCTCTCGGCAGCGACAAAAGACTTCCTACATCCTGCCCTTTTTTTTTGCTTTGCTCTTTTGTGAGCTGGTGCGCATCTTTCGCTGCCAATTTCACATTAATAAGTATTTATTTACTCGACGATGTGTGTTATCGGCAGGTTTATCAGGGATATACTACGTTTACTATCCGTGATTTTAATGGAATTCCGAGCTGTAAAAAGATTCAGATTTTCCACGTAGATTATGACATATCTAGGTATACACGGGATATTTTTTTGATGATCAATAAAATTCAAGTGTGAAGCGCGTTAGCATATTTTGAATTTCTAATTTTAATGGTGTTTTAATTTAATTTATTTTATTTTATTTCATTTTACGGTTTGATAGGATCGCTCCGAGTGTGGTTTTATTGCCATTCTGGAAATTCCTGCATGTAATTTGAATTAAAAACGAACTAAAACAATTTGTTGCTTCCAGTATCAACGAAAATTAATTTTCTGCTGTTTTTGATTGGAAAAAGACGTTTGAACGCGTTTTTCGGCTCTAGGCCAGTAAAATTATTGATTATGGTGGTATTTGTGTGTGTGGCATTATTATTTTAACAAATATTACTAAAAGAAGTAACAAAATCAAATGATTTTAGAAATAATTGAGTTTGTACCGTTTTCTGGTTGGAAAATGACATGTGAAAGCGTTTTACGGCTCTAGGGCAGTAAAATTTTTGTCTACAAATATAATTATCTGCAATTTGAAAACATTAATTAATATTTTAGATTTTGTCGCTCTACTAACAGAAAAATTATTATTTTTTCCGTTTTCTGGCTGGAAACTGAGTTTTACCGCTCTAGGGCAGCAAAATTATTGTCCTGCAATGTTTTCTGTGTGGTATTGATATTTTAACGAATATTAATGAAAAGAATCGGCGCGGCGAGTTGAGTTATCGAACGTTTTATATCGCCGAACGTTGTGGGAGTTCGTGACGAGTGACCGAAACATTAATTATGCTTTTAATGGAGCGATATATTTGTTGTTTTTTTCGCTTATTGGTTTTTCGTGCTGCCCGCTGCCCTCGGCCGCATGTGGTGCTAATATGCCAGAACCAAATGGAATTTAAATGGGAACGCAAACATTTTGTAAATGCGACGCGGCGAGACGGTGCGTAATAAAGGACGACACGTCCTCGACAGCAATCATCGCGCACAACACACCATCTCAAATAAATAATAAAAAAAAGCACAGAACAATATTTTTCTCTCCTGCACTGCACACACAATTCAACGAATTGCAATTGCAGTCGACGCATTTGGGCGTTTTACGCGAATCGCGAAATGAAATAAAGATTCCATGAAAAGTAATCAAAATTTCTTCAATAAATTCACGTATTAAAACGAAATTCGACTCATAATAACGAGCGTAGTTTACGACACCCGAAAAGTCATAAAATAACGATTCCCGCAAGGAGAGCGCGCGCGCGCGCATGCGACGTCAGCCTCGCCTCCCCAATGCACCCAATGAGCAGCAATAACCGACAGTCGCCAATAAATTTCAATTAAATTTTATTAGTTAACCGGTAAGCCGAACCGAATCGACCTTATGTTGACCAGCGCGATTTGTTTCACATTTTATTTAGACGAAATAACACAATTGAAAAATTTACTTTAAAAATCATTCAATTTTATCAAAAAACAAAAAAAAACAATTCACAGGAACAAGAACGAATAGGAAAACGTTTTGTTTGTGCTTTGTGTGTGCCTCGAACCTCGAAGGAAGTCGTCAAAATTTAATTGCTTCAATTTCTCACCATACTTTCATTCTCCATTCATGGAATTTTATTTTTAGAAAATTCAATTTCATCTATTCATTATTAGAAGTGATTCTAATAATCTACCTGAAATAGCCCTCACAGAGAGGCATATTCCGCGTCTTTCGCTCACTTCCTAATTGCACGCTGTTTACATTCGACGTGCGCGCGCGTGTATTTAAATTTTCGAAAACGCTTAAGTCGCGCCGCAATAAAAATCGCCGCGATCAAGCGAAACAAGCTGTTTGCAAGCTGGTCGTATTTTCTCTGGCTGGCGAGAGTAATGTGTTGGGCCGTTTAGCGTGAAAGACGATTGTGGCTCGTAAAACATCATTGAACGTTTCCAAACTATAAATATAAACACAGTTTATATCTAAGTATGTAACATGTTGTGCGCGCGCTTTGCACAAAACTCCCAACTCCAAACACAATTTCCACGCGATTTTTGTGATTTGTGATTAGCAACGTGAAATTCGTCATATTTTATCTCGTGTGAGATATGCACAGCATCTGGTAACAAAACGGGTTGGTAAATGTTGATGGTAGGTGGGCTGGCAGCGGGGCACGCCGCGGGCCCGGAGGTCCGACGTGTTATGTGACAAAACAACCATAACGAATTGATCAAGATTAGGTTCCGTGTTTTTAATTGTTCACTCGAGCAGGATTTTTTGTTTTCGTCAAATCTACGCGCGCTGCTTCTTTGTGAGGAGACGAAAAATTCATGCAGCCGTCGGGTTGTTTTACTCGTCGAACATCTCATTTTGCTTTCCGAAGAAGATTTTCAAGCCGACTTCTCTTCACCGCACGTCCGAGGAGTTTAACGTTTCGTTTTACGCTTCATCGACACTGATTTCTGGACGACGGACAAGTCTTGAAAGCACATCCCGAATGCGTTGAAGTGTTAATATCCGATATGAAATTATAACAAGACCACCGAAATTTTATTTTTATTATCGAAAGCTGCTTAATAATAATGCACAACAAATATTTTCACTTTGGGCTTTTAATTCCTTCAGTTTACACGGGCACCACACTGTTAGTAAACAGCAGGTTGTTGCTTAAAGCTGTGAAAACACAACAAGTGTCAAGAGCGTTGGAGTTGTAAACGTTCAGCTTCTTTTTCCAGCGCGTCCGCACGTACGATTAATTTATGTGCGCGCCCATGTCGTCGTCCTCTTCTCATTTCTTCACCGAATGCTGCTGCCTTTTTTTATCGGGCATAATTAAATAAAGAGTGCCACCCAGTCATAATTGCGTCACGTTCCCTCTTCCAGAGCGCGACGCTGACAAAGATGTAAGACAAGCATTTGGCATGCACATGTTTGTCGCCATCCTCTATCCAACCTTCGTTTCATTATTTTCGCCCTTTGCCTGCGCTTGTGGTTTTTGCTACTCGCTGGAATGACCGAGGAAAAACAAACCGAGGAGTTTTTATGCGGACACAGCTAAATGTGCCCGCCATCGCCCAGAAATGTTTCTCGGCTGCTGTAGCTGTAATTCAGTAACAGACGTGTGACTGACTAAATGACACGTTGTTTGAGAAACTGGCGCAATGCTTTTTTTCGTCGTTTTCTTGCCGTCAGTGCAGTCACATTGGTAGGAAGTTCATTTAGTTAAGTAAATAAATTCATAATTCGTTATTGCCGTGCGATGCTGACAGATTTACATCGACGAAAATAAATAATTAAATCTTAATTAATATAATGTTTGTTTGTGCCCGTTTTATACAAAACCACTGAAGGAATTTTAATAAATTTTGGTGTAGAGGTAGTTTTTACCAAGGAAAATAAAATAGGCTACTTTTTGCGCAGAAAATTTACTGTAAGGGTATAAAATAAGGGATGAAAGTTGAAATTGAGATTAAATCATATTTCAACTTGTAAAATTAGAAAATTAAGAAAGTTTTTGACGAGACCTGCTCATAATTAATCCAGAAATCTAAATAATTAATTTGCTTGTTACTAATTTGACCATTCTTTGAATTTTTAAACACAAAGAAACCTTTTTTCATTGCTTGGTCCGACACTCTTCGATTCGATTTATTAACGCCTTGGTCGTTGATCGCTGCTATCTTGTATCTACAGCAGTTTTCGAAATGTTATCATTTCGTCTCGATCTACCTACAATTTACATCGCTGCTTGACTTGCCTAACTAATGGACCTGCCTCGAAGCGCGACAAAACACTCCCGAGATAAAAACCGAACTGAACGCGTGAAACCTATGACCGAAAGTGTCACATAAATTCACATTCATAAAATAATTCCTGGTCACACATTCAAATTTCAACTTTACGGGAACTGTCCGTTTTGAGTTATGCCCTCTGCGCAGACATAAATAATCTTCATATTTATATTCTTCGGCTTGTCATGGACGTGTGTCGTTGACTGATCTTGTGCTTTTCTTTTGCAGAGTGGCAGCGGACACCACGTGTAGTCCACAGAGCGCTCACTCGTCGACATGCGGTAGTCCGCCGGCGACGTCGACGAACCAACAACTGAACGACTTGACGCAGAGAAATACACCCAGCGCGACAACTTGTACCAATTCCTCTACGCATTTATCATCGCCGTGGTCCCTGGGTGTTGTTGAAGGTGTGAAGAGCGAAATGCGTAGTCCTGGTCTGGGTGAGCATGAAGTGACCGCGTTATCGCAGGATACCAACTTCTACAACTCCATTGAATTGGGTTCATCTACTTACGACAAGGATTATTCCCAGTCGTATTCACAAGCGCATCAATATTACAATAGGTAAAATAATCTTTGATGAATTCCGTTGTCTATTTTCTAATGTTTCTTTTGTTTTTCTGTTTTGTTCTCCACCTGCAGCATGCAACAAACCTACGGCACATCCAGCCCGACAGCCGCATCGCCTTACATGAACACAATGGCGTCGCCATTCTACAATTCGTCGTCATATCCGTACACGCCGCTGAGCACCGGCCGCGGCTTGAATCCGAGCTGCAAGACGGCCACCAGCTACTTGTCGTCACCGTACTCGTCGCCCGCGTCGCCGTTTCAGGCCGCAGGACAATGCGGGCAGTACTCGCATTACACCGGATACTCCTCCACGCCGGCGTCCACATTCTCGCAGGGATTTCCAGCTCAAGTGAGTAGTGGTGCTTCACGGCCGCCACACACACGCCGACAATGCGGATTTCTGGTGTAATTAACACTTTTTGTGTGCGTTCGCAGGATTATTCCAATTACGGGCCGTACTCCAGCGACGGCCAGGGTGGGCAATACAGTTCCAGTTATTATGCGCCGCAGAGTTATTCACCGTATGTGAGCTCGCCGAGTAGTAGTGGCAGCATAGGAGCTACTTCTACTTATCAATTAGCAGGCACAACATTACCAGGTAAACACACAAATTACATTATTATTTGAATTTGTATTTTAAAACTTTAGAAATACCACGCATGCGTATTAAGAACTATGTAGTGTCATAACATACATAACCTTACTATTTCCACATCTGAATCTTCAAATGTTTCAAACAATCATAATACTTCCAATGATGTTTAAAGTATGAAAAGTTAGTTATAAATGCTATGCCCATATAGTGATACAAGCAGCAGTGAAGATGAAGGTTCTACAACACGCATTTTCTGTTTTTATCATTAAATTAATCTCAATTCTTTGATTTGCAGAGAGTCCATCAAATGGAGTCACACTTGGTGAAAGCCCAATATCTCCCTTGAAAGGAGACACATCACGACGCTCACGTGAACCCGCAAATGCCTTGGGTTCCGAAGCTCGAGGCCCCAGAGGCCGAGGACGGCGTACAAACACGGTTTCTCCAAGCGCACCAGAGCTAACCACCGATCGAGTGTTTATCTGGGACTTGGATGAAACTATCATCATATTCCACAGTTTATTAACTGGCAGCTATGCAACCAAATACCAAAAAGTATGAATTTTTAAACAAATTCTTCAAATTTCAATGTTATAACCATGTTTTTAAATATAGGAAGTTCAGAGTATTGTCCAACTTGGATTCCGAATGGAAGAAATGGTGTTTAACCTAGCAGACACTCACTTTTTCTTCAACGACATTGAAGATTGTGATCAAGTGCACATTGACGACGTTTCATCGGATGATAACGGCCAGGATCTTTCAAATTACAATTTCTCCAGTGATGGTTTTCGTTCAGCTGGAAATGGGAGCGGAAACTTGTGTCTTGCGACGGGTGTACGTGGAGGTGTCGATTGGATGCGCAAATTAGCGTTTAGATATAGGAAAATCAAGGATACATACAACAATTACAGGAATAGGTAATAAATTTTAAGTTTTAAACTATGAAAATGTAATAATTTGTGTTTTTTGTGTGAATAGTGTCGGTGGATTACTAGGACCAGCAAAACGTGATCAATGGCTTCAACTGCGTTCAGAAATTGAGTCTTCCACGGACAACTGGTTGACTCTCGCTACAAAGTGTCTGACTTTGATCAATTCGAGGAGTAACTGCGTCAATGTGCTGGTCACAACGACGCAACTTGTTCCAGCCCTAGCAAAAGCCCTACTCTTTGGTCTTGGGAACGTCTTCCCGATTGATAATATTTATTCAGCCACGAAAATCGGCAAAGAGAGTTGTTTTGAACGTATCGTCACGCGTTTCGGTAAGAAATGCACCTATGTTGTGATCGGAGATGGTCAAGATGAAGAAGCAGCCGCAAAGGCATTAACCTTTCCCTTTTGGAGGATAACAAGCCACAGCGAGATTGCTGCTCTGTATAACGCGTTGGATTTGGACTTTTTATGATTGACTCAAACCAAAAACATTTCTCGGCGAACGCAATGCGCAAACAGACACAGCCGCGACGCTGTGCAAGATTTTATATTGATTTTCGTTAAAGTTGCGATCGATGTGTATATTTATTTGTATATAAAATAGTAAATTTGTAATTATTGACAGAGAGCAACTACATTTTACGGACGCTGAGATCTAAATTGTTTCTATTTGTGTTTACAAATGCACTCGTAAGAAATTTGATGAGGATTTGTGCCAATAATTGCTGCACAATTTATTCAGTACTTCCCCCAATGCCTGCAGAGATGTAATTTGAGCTTGCGCATTTGGAGTATTTATATATAATATCCAAATAAATGGTTGGATGACTTAGCAATTTTATTGTCTCGACGACGTGTAAATAACAAATTGCTCATTTTTCGATGGATGATGTTCAGATTTGAGTTTTGGTCGCTTGTGTTCACGTGCACACCGATGGTAATTTTGCAAAACGTTCAAAAAATGGCGGACACGATTTTCATTTGATAACTAAGTTACTACGCAATCTTGTATTATAGATATAGTTCTAATATAAATTTATGATAATTCTATGATAACTATTATATTCAGTGTAAATGTATGAAGATTATACATGAATAACACTAAAAACGTATACATTACCCCGTTAATTGTGTTTTTTCTTGGAGCACCAAAAACCGTTGCACATTCACTCGTTGAATCATCACAACTCTTTCGTTTCAGACACCAACGGTGCGCAGAATGCAAAAATTCGTCATTTTAATATAGGCAACCAAAGTTACACAAAATGTAGTCTAATTTCAAACAGCCAACATATAAGCTGAATCATGGTAAGAATAAATATTTCTATTTTTTAGTTTAATTTGTTAAACAAACAATTCGTTTAATGTAAAATCGTTAAAATATTTCCCATTCGTTACATCTCGACTTTCTCCATCAAGTTTTTCACTTTGATGTGAAGCAGCACTGCTTGCTTTTACATAAATATTATTCGTATCATAATCCAATGGCATTTCTATTATATCGTTATCAATTAAACTACAACATCTAATTATAAACGGCGGATTTCTAAATAAATTATTCTCCCATATAAAATGTAACACATCCGAAAAGCTTTTTAAATTGTTAAATACTTGTTTCTGTTTTCTATTTAATATCCTACCGAGCATAAACACTAGATGATGATGAAAACATTGAAAAGTTATATTATCCGGTTTACCTAAGTCAAAAACATTGTTTAAAATGTATCTTCTTGATTTCATTAAGACGTTATAGTAGCATAACAGAATCCAGTGTTCTACGACAACTTGCGCTGCTCGAAAATCATAAGTTTCGCCTGTAAATAATGTCGGATTTGATAATAATCCATTTGCAGCCATTACACCATTACACTTTGTAAGTTTTGATAAATTATTATAATCATCTAGTGTTTCTACTCCGCCATTTGCAATTACAGGACATGACACATTCTCACAAATTAATTTGATTGCATCTGTATTGACAGGACCAGATGATACATCTGGATATCTGCCATGAATTGTTAAAAAGCTAGCACCAGCTTTGTCTAGTTTCTGACACAAATCAACCGTTTTTCTTATATCGTAAAGTATGCGTGTTTTTACAGAAATCGTAAAGTTTTGATTGTTTATCGCTGATTTACATTCTTTTATCATCGAGCATATTATTTCTGGATTGTTCATTAACTCACAACCCAGACCCAACTTTTTAGCCCATCTTTGTGGACATCCGCAGTTTAAATCCACACCATTGCAATATCTTTGAAGAACAAAAAAACAAGAACATAACATTTGACATTAACTAATAACTAATATTAATAAAAAATAGTTTGTACTTACGGGCTAACTAGAACCGATGCTCCAACGAAATCACTAACATTATTCGATGCAAATTGAACAACTAATGGTGAATCATCTGAAAGTTTACATATTTTAGAAATAATTTGTGATTGGTTAATTAAAATATAGTGTTTTATACTTTTACTTGTTGTAAATTCATTATTTCTTGCTTTACTACTCAAAATAAAAGAATCAGCCAGTAGCATAGGTGTAAAAGCCAAGTCACAATCATAGAGTCTAACAAGTTGTCGAAACTGTAACCTGCAAAGAGGAAAGACAGATAAATTTAAATGAAATTAAGAAAATTAAAGGAAGACAACTTACTTGCTATAACGTACCATTGGTGCACATACTTTTAAACATGGTTTAGTTTCGAATAAACGTAAAACACTATTATTCTCGTTTGAATTCATCTTTTTCAGATGCAGAGCACACAAGTTTAAAGATCACACATTGCAGAGAAACATTTGCAGGTTAGAAACGATAAAAGACCAAATCAACATACAGGGTGTACGATATTGTCACATATTTATGATTTTGTTGCTTTTGATTTGGTTTAGTAGGCTTTCTTCTTAAAATATAATTAGAAAGTGGCCTCAATAGAAGATAATAGAATATTTCGACAAAACTCAACAAACTCGCACCGATGAACAAAGCCGTAGTTCCGCCCATTGAAACTACACAAAAATAGTGATCAATAATATTATTGCATGTTTGCGTTATTTATTATATTATCTACTCACCAACTAAATCTAGTCTGCCTTTGACTACACTTCTCTTGAATCTCTCAGAAGGTAATCTGTCTAAGGATAATTCAACGATTGCGTAGTTATCATCAATTCTAACACAAAAATCATGTAAAATTTTTTGTAAAATATGTTTAAAATGTTGTATTGCATAATATACCCTGATTTATCATCTTTGACGATGGATAACTCTATTTCTGTGCAGCTGGGAACGCAGAAACATACAATTCCTTTACGTTTGGCCCATGGAGCTTTCAAGACAGCCAAATCATCATAGTTTTTGTTCAGACATTCAAGACCTGTGATTGTACATTGTTGTTCAGGTTCTAAAACAGATATAATGAAATAAGGTAAGAGAACAGTAAAGTTTTAAAGTGATTTTTCAAGACATAAAGACTGGAGGGGAGTGGGGGTAACAGCTCCTGTACAGCATAAGATGGAGGAGATTCTGGACCCGCAAAAAATGGTGGGGGTAAGCCTATATTACGAGGGCATGAGCTGCATTGGTAAGAGGAAAGAAAAATAATTGGAAGTCGCATTGGGTCGTCAATACTATCAAGAACGTATCTAAGTATATTAATTTTAAAACAGTTTTGAAAAGATTACGTACTTGTGTTTGGAATTAAATGATGAGAACAATTGCAGCGAGCAAGTTGAGCGTCCCGTCGACACTGGACTGAACAAGCTGAGTAACTGTAGTATTTATAAACATTCAGGTAACTCTCATCCATGAATCTACAGTTTCGTTGAACAATTGACACATCTCGGACCTAAAATATTCATTTTAAGCAATAAATAAAAATATTACCATATTATATTTTTACTTCGGCTTGATTTTCAATTTCGGTTAGCGCGAAATATCTGTGGTATCTGATTTGGGGACTAATTTGTAAGATTTCCGTTTGTAGAGTAGTCAATGATGGTACTTCCTGTTCACCAAGAACATAAATCTAGAAAGAAATAAACCAACAAATAATTTATTGATTTATTTGTTTGTTTTTTATTTATTTACATTTGAGAAAACTTTGATTTCTAAATAAAACGTGCCAACTCCTACTTTTCTATTGGAAATCATATCGAAAAATTCCGGCTTTTTTGCAGTTGTTTGTCTCGAATTTATACTGAAACACACGCCTAGTTCTGTATTCATCGGATGGAAATATTTGCAACAGTCGAAGGGCTTATTATTCCACATACACTTTGCAAAAATCTGCTCACAATTACTTCTCACCTTAAAAACACAAGATAAAAAGCAAATAAATAAATTTGCTGAAGAAAATATAATGTAAATGATAAGAATATTTACCATATCTGAAAATACTGTGAAATTGCTTAAACTGCAAGCCGCATTTCTCGTTTCTGGATCGCCACAGATTTGCAAAGTGTAAAAATTCAATCCTTTGTAATAAACCAATTCTTTTACAACTTCATCGAGATTATAGTCATGTGGATCACCATAAATCCTTAAAAACAAAATAAATGTATTCACGCATAGAGAAATGACGTCATTGTTGAGTTTTTCTACATTTCTAGATAATTCATAATTTTTTGCTTTTTTTTAAATGAAAATAATCATTAATTAAAAATAAATGCACGTTCTGAATTTTACACCTCTTAATTAATTCAACACATGCATATTTGTAATAATATTCTCATGCAGTCATTATGCCAATTATAGTTATTAGTAAAATTATTAGTACTCATCGGTAACATCAGCAATACGATCCTGATTATCGACCTCGCAGACTGTAACTGATGGAAACTGAGTATCCCAATCCAGGTAGCTCGTCTCAGCCACGAATTGAATTGCATTGTTTTGGTAATCATCCCAATTAGCACGAATCAACATTGACGTGCCTAACCAACTCAACATGCAACAAACCAACCAAAACAGTTTTTCGGACCAATGACGTTCTTTTTCCACTAGAAATCGAAATCCATGGAAGGAACTATTCAGAATATAAGTTGAAATGATAGATTTTGGTTTGAATTCTTCCATTTTCACAGTGAAAATATTAAAAATACTAACATGGAGTGTTTTATATACTTTTCAAGTTGATAAAATATTAATACTAATGATAATTTTGTGTCATTGTGAGTGTCATCTTCTATTGTTAGTTTACAATACAATTCAGTACAATAGAATATAAGTTATCAGTTATCACATCGAATCATTACTAATTTAGTGTTTTTTGATAGTTTAGGAACGTTTAGACCTTTTTATACTAAATGCGCATGCGTAGTAGTTACTTACATCTAAATTGACATAAATGGGTGGAGCATACTTTCTATTTTTTAATTTAAACCTGTCTAAAATCTATATTTTATGAATTATTATAGTATGACAAACTAAAATTTCTTTCTCTTTTCCTATCGATTAATTCTGCAATGAAACAGATAACTCCAAGTGAATTTCCGATAATCAATATGGCGAATGCCCCCTGTACGTGTCCCCATTGTAGTTTTACGGGGACACTTGAACCATCCGCGTGATGCGCACCAAATTGAACGGCTTTCTGAATTTGGGGATTTAAATGTTTTGTTGCTACGCGATATTCCCACACGCCGGGTATTCCAGTCTGAGCTAAGACTAGAATGAAATTATCGATGGATGGCATCCATATTGATGACTTTTTGTCATTAAGACGCAATATTCCCAGTAGACGTCTTCATGCATTAGTTTTAATGATGCTGCGCCTTCTTCTGTTATGTAATCACCGATAGCAAATTGTCCTTGAAAAGAAAAAGAGAGATGTTTATTTTATTATTGTTATTTAAAAAAATACAGTGTAATTTAAAATTAACGACAAACGTCACCTTTTTTAACATTTGCATTTGAATTATTATAACTTACCAGCAGGTAATCTTTCAATTGAGAATGCAAATCTTTTGTTATTATATTTTCGTAGTCTTGGACCATCAGTTTTCACAAAACGCTCGACCAAAACATGATAATTGTACTAAAAATATTTATGTTTCAGTTTTAAGTATAAATGTGTCATAACCTCAAAATATTACTTCTTCAGCATCCATGATGGACATAATCCAGGCAATTGAAGTAGCTCCCCATTGAATACCACTGTCTACTAACTCCTGAACAGTGTTGATTGCTCCCTCGTATCTGGGAACAGTCATACTGCTTGCTAAACCACTGGAATAACTACTGGCGATTAGTAAACTGTAAAGAAACATGCAGCCATGCAGGAAATTTTTTGATTTTGTTGAATGCCCAAAACGATTAAATGCTTGCAGGAGAAATATTGATGCTGTGTCCAAGATTGATTCTTGAGCTAATCGAGTTGTAGAAACACGACTAAAATAAATTTAGGTTATAATAGGTTAAAATATCAATAGTTTATAGGTTATGTTAAAATGTAAAAGGTAAAACTTACTTTGGATCATTTTCATCTTGATTGTAATAATCCAACAGGGTTAAGACTATTGAGCAAACTAGGAATACAACACCAACTGCTATCCACATTTCATAGGTGAAAGAAAACAGAGGGACCAGCCATCCAGCTGCCAAACTAAAAATATATCTATACTAATATTATAAATGCGAAAGTCCTGATGTTTGTTACACTTTCACGCAAAAACTACTTAACCGATCATCATGAAAATTTGTACACATATTCTTAGTGGTCCCCGAATGGTTATAGGCTACTTTTTATTTAATAAAAAAATTATTTTTTAAATTAAATAAAGAAATTGTTTAGCCAATAATACCTCTGCATCTGGCTATTTGACTACTTTAACGCCATCTAGCATTCCAGCAATGAAACTCAAACCTAAGTACTATTGTATCATCACACTGTATTATCACACTGAATTACCGACAGCTACGTCAACATCAAATCCAATTGACTACACTATGGAGACTGTACTCTATACTAGCAACTTCATTATTTTAGATATTCGCGAGCGAAGCCAAGGGTTAAAGCTAGTAGACTATAATTTTAGTTACTAATTCATAAGAATAGATTTTATTTGTGTAGGAAAAGGTTACTTACTGAGGTGCTGGTGTTAAACATGTAATACCCGTCCTGACCACGGGTTTAGACAAGTCCAGATAACCATATTCATGAGCCCAAGTATACAGTGCAGCTAAGTAAAGCGAATTTTATTGTATTTTTTATAAAATCACGTATTCTGGTATTTTTAATAACTTACCTAAACCTACATCACCATTATCATACATAACATTCCCAAGAATACCATAACCAGTCCAATTATCATAAATCTCACCCCATTCGCCTTCCTCGTCGATAATATAAGTAGGTGTTAAATTGTATTGACGACTAAATTCTACAGCAATTTGTAGTTCAGTGCCCTCATTGAACTCTAAAATAATTTTAAAATTTTTATGAATTTTTAAACTAAATTTTTACACAAAAAGCATTCTATGTTCTTCTCCTAGCCTTAATCTATTTCTATACAAAAATTCATCAAAATTGGTTCAATATTATTAGTGAAAAAGGTAACACGCAAATAAAAAACACAGACACCCACTGAAATGTAATATTTACTATACCTGGAACACTATATGGCTTATACGTAAATGTAGCGATCTTAAACGGCCTCCCTTGACCATCACTCAATTTATCCGGATACAAATCAACCAATGGAAAACCATAACTTGTATTATTATACTCTTCATCCTCTTTATCATTATCACAATACCATGTATCCAAATGCATTACTTCCTGCGTACCTTCCTCATGCTTCCCAACAAATTTATGTGTATACATCTCAATAGAACACATTTTTCATTCAAAGTATTATTAAAACTATTAAATCCACCACTTTCACTTTCAGGACTTTCAGGACTTTCAGGATTCGTATATAACAGCAGTAAAAAATCAGCAATAAACTCCAATTCATTCAAATCAAAAATATCATTATCCGCAACATCAAATTTTTCTAAATTTTCATCATCCTGATTAGTATTATCATTTTTATTATTATTATTATTAACAATCACCAGATATCTTCTTGTATTAAACCGTTCCATCGTATAATATCTTATCGCTTTCTCAATTTGAACAATAGTAGCAGCAGTAGTATTAATCCTCTCAGTATAAATCAAAAATCCTTGACATCCAAAATAATTAAAAGCGATGGAATGATCAAATTTTCCATGCACGTCCACTTTCACTTGAATAATCGGCAGGGAAAAATTCACCTGCATCACATCAATAGAATTAAAAGAATCACTAAATATCAGAAGACATCGTGTATCCATGAAATACATTCGCAGAATATTATTAACAAAAATATTTAAATAATGCATAATTTAAGTTTTTGATTGTTTTTTGATGGTTTTTGATTGTAAAATGAATGCCCAACCTCTGTTTTTATACCAAAATGATGTTGATTCATGGTTATTCAGAAGTAAGAGATTCTTCAGATCATTTATTCAATGTTTACATGCTGGAAAACAAAAGAATACAAATATTGACAGGTAGAAATGTTTGACTAATTGATTATGTGTCTTTAGGTGATCAAATAGAAATGGAAAATGTGTATTTCAATATAGAACTAGGTAAAAATTAATTTTGTTATGCATCTACATCCGTTTATTTTTTATGTTTTATTTTTTATTTTTGTGAAACCTTGATTTGCATTTTAGTTGATTTCGAGCGTAAACAAGTTTGAAAGCAAAAAAATTGCAATGTTTAATATTTAATAAAATACAAGCACAAATACGCTACCTATAAACATTGTGTTACAATTGTTTAAAACTATGCATTGCAACATAAAAACATAAAAAATATTCGCTTTCAATTTAAATTTCAATAGAAAACATTTCATAACAAATTTTTTTCATCTTTTGTTATTTGCGAAAAATAAAATAAAAATAAATTTTACAGTTTACGGGAAAAATACGGGTTTTTATTAACAATTAGATTATTTACGCTTTTCGACAACTTTCGGCGATTTTTATTCGTTCATGCTCGAATAATAAATGTAGCAAATTGTATTGCCAATTAGTTACACGCGTGAAGAAATGTTAGGAAGGGTTTGTAAGCGTGATGTAATCAGCTATTCATCTCTTCGGTCGCCAAACGCGTGTGAGGTTTTTCTATTATAGATTTTGCATTTGTGTGGACCGCGTCGGAAATTATTACTTCATTGAAGTCGAGTTATGTGCGCGGCCGGCTGCTGGTTCGAGTACTCTAATAGTTTGGCATTGATAACAGTAGCGAATACATCGTCAGCATCACAATATAACAACAACGGCAAATAACTATCATTTTTACAGTGCTTGTGAATATAAAATATAGGAAAAAATTGAAAAAAACATTTAAAGTGAAGATGGAGTTAGTAAAAATAACAAATTTATTTATTAATTTTATTGTGTTATCAGCAATGATCAAAAGTTATGGTGAGTGCTATTTTGAATAAATGATTATTTGTTATTTTTCGTTTAAATTAATTTTACACTTTTATTTTATAATTTTTTATTAAATTATTTTTGAAATAATAAACTCATTACATAACAATTTTCTTAGTTAGAAGAATGTTTTTGGTTATTAAACACTTATTGTTATTATCGTGTCAACAACATACAAAAACGTATGTTCGGTACTTATACGGCAAGTCAAACCATTGGTTTCAGAAAAATAAGAATTTTTTTTTAAATTTTGTTTTCAAATATTTAATAACTCTTAAACTAATTCCAAATGTGTTCCTAAAATGTTATTATTACTTTAAAAATAACAATAGTTGCATGTTTTAAAACTAGGTCAAAACCACTAAAAAATAAACCACAAAAAATGAAATTATAAAAGATTCGTACGTGAGCAATATAAAATTGAAATTTGCTTATCGCTAATCGAAAATCGCATTCGATTGCAATCAGGGTTTTTTTTGCACTCGAATCAAGGTTTGGTCAGTACACCATGACTAACCTGAAACGTCAAATTTATTTTTATATTAACGTATCGCATCGTATCATTAGGCTATGCGTCAATATCCATAACTTCGACCTTGCGAAAAGTACAAAAATCAAGAGTAGTTAGGTTCGACGAAATTAATTAACGTGCTTTATTCCGATAAATACATTCTACGCTGGATGGAAAGTTATAATCATGCTTGTTGTTAGTCAATGTCAAAACAGCATCGAAATACTCGTACTCGTAGTACTGAGAATTACTAAAGTAATTATAATAATCAGTGAAAAAGTTTATTTACTTTAGCTTTACAAACAAATAGCAAAAATTTAAAATCCGGATAATTATTTATTTCTTAAGCTGTTAAACCATTTTTTTCATTAGTTTTGAAAGATTTGGTTTAAAACTTAGGTTAAACACTGTTCAACTGGTTGCATATATTATTTGACTGTATTTTCAACGTTATTTCTTATTTTAATCACTTTAATTGATAAATTTGATATAAAACGCGTATATTTTTGTATTAATTGAATGATTTATTAATAGTTTAATATAAAAGAAGGTGAGAAATTCCGAAAACTCAACATTAACGTCATAGTTTTTGCAAAAATATATTATTCATAACAATTTCCAACAAAACTGTCATTATGCCAATTAAAAGATTCATTCATAAATAAATAACAAACATGTTGACGAACCTTTAAAAAATGTTATATTTCTGTTTGTAAATATTATTATTGTGCTTTCTGTGTACTCATAAATTTGTATGAAATGATTTTTGTTGACCAGCACGAGCAGAAGGAACAGTCCTACGGAGAACATCGCGTGCCTCTAATTTCTGCTCGAATAATATGGTTTGTGTGCCGATATCATCGTGTCCGGTGCTGCGAGACATCATAAAAAACGAATGCGTAATCAATAACAGGTACATATATTGATTCCATTCAAACATTATCATAATTATATTATTTCTAAACAAAATACAACAAAAAAATAACAAAAAATAAAATAAAATTTTAGAGTATCTTCATTGGGTTGTGGATATCAAGGCTCCGGTCTTGTCTGTTGTCCACAAACAAGCCAAGCGACTAGTTTCAAAGATCATAAAACATCCGATGGACACGTGTGTGGGCAGACGGCGGTGCAAGGTGAAAACTACGAAGGAGTCGGGACGTATCCGTGGATTGCGCGCATCGGCTTCAAGAGTATGCTTATTATAGACTAATCACGCTTGATAATCAATCATTATTTGGCGATTACCTACCTATTGATGTTTGTTAATAAATCATATAAATTAACTTTGTAGATACGCAAAGTGGAGAAGTGAAGTATCCTTGCACAGGTTCAATACTCAATCGGCGTGTTATTCTTACAGCTGCTCATTGCGCATTGGCAAAATCAACAAATTTCAAATTGTGAGTAATTAGTTATTAATTATGTAATATTTAACATGTACAAGTTGAATATTTACGTTTTTATGAATTTTAAACTTGAAAAAAGTTAATGTTTGATTTGCGGTATAAAAACAGAGCAAAAATTAATTATTTATTTGTTTATGGTTAAAAATAATAATTAAATATTATTAATTTATTTATTTTTGAATAAATATTTTTAGATATAATGTTAGAATTGGTGAATACACAACAAATTCCGATATTGATTGTGGTGAAGAGTTTTGCGGCCTTCCAAATCAGGATATACAAATTAGTCATGTTATTATCCATCCCAACTATGAGAAACAATCGTATAAAAATAATATTGCGTTGATTGTATTAAGATCCGCAATGAATTTTTCAGGTGAGTTGTTTTTTTAAATTTAATTTAGAAAATTAGAAATTTTAAATTAATATTAACGGTACATCATTCAAAATTAAATTTTAAGTTGTCAAATAGATTGTTTATGTGTGTGTGGTGTGTTTAGTTACTTCACAACCGATCTGCTTACCGGAATCATGGTCTGTCACCAGCAGTAATGGGATTCTAGTCGGCTGGGGCAAAACCGCCGGCCAAACTGGTAATAATTCAATTTTAAACATGCAATTATACAATTTTATTTCATATTAGATTTTTATCAAGTGAAAATGATTAAGTTAAGTGAAAATATAGGTCAGTAATTTAAGATTCAATCTTATTCGTTAGCATACATTTTTGGTTATGTAAATGCGTGTAATGTGTGTTGCCTAAGTGAAAGTAATATTAGATTTTTATAAAAATTTAATAGAAAACACAGAAATCATCAAAAATACCAAAAATGTTAACACAAATTAATTTATAAATTGATGAACCTTTTATGCACAACTATTCAAGTTTCAACTCTTAATATAGGCAACTTGTTCAACATCAATACTAACATAACCCATTTTCATAACTAATTCTTTTATTATTCTAGTAACGATATATAAACAACAAGTTTTACACTTACCAATCACAAATCTAAGAAAATGTGCAAACGTCTACGGAAATACTTTACCAATCACCGATAATCACCTGTGTGCTGGCGGAGAATTAGGACACGATGCTTGTTCAGGTTTCGGAGGTGCTCCCTTGATGATTCAACAAGGCGATACTTACTACCAAGTAAAATAATAAACCACACAACAAATAAACACTAATAACCTCAAATAATCTATATTTTTAGATTGGTATTCTTTCTTTTGGATCTGATCAATGTGGAGCTCAGGGAATACCAAGTGTTTACACAAATGTTAGAAAATACGTAAATTGGATCAAAGAAAACATTCCAGTAATTTATAATAACTAAACTACAAAAGTTTAATAATAATAATGATACTAATAATATAAGTTAGGTTATAATAAATGTTTATTGTAGAGTCTACTAAATTTTATTTATATAAGTTATAAGTAATAATTGATTACTTATGATTTTAGTTTTAAGTTTAAAAGATAAATACAATAAGGTTTGTAATTCTGTAAAGGTTTTGTTTCATTCAATATCGTTAATTAATAATTAGCTATGTTACAATGAAGAAACTGGAGCTAAAGTGCTTAATTATTGTATTAATTAACAAGGTTTCAAAGTGTCTATCCTTAACCATCATAAAAACCGTTAAAATCCAAAGAAAATGCATTTTTTGATGGTTAAAGATAAAGTATAGTATTCTATTCACGCATAATATGCGCTGATTGAATAACAAGTTTTTTCAAATTTGTGAATCACTTAGCAAATGCAATAAAACACAAAATTCAACAAATTTCATGTTTACAATTCAACTAGTTAAAAAAATATCTTGGAAGTTTTGATTGTACACTATTTTAATGCATATTTATCGAAGCATTCAAATTGAAGGTTAGAGCTGTGCGTCAACGTATATAGGCAATCAAACTAACAGCAAACACTTTGTTTGTTACCCGCAAGTAGAAAAATCAATAAACACAGACAGGAAACGCTTAATTATCACATGTCATGTCATAATTAGATAACAAAATATAGACTTTATGCGTTAGACAAAATAATCTTCAATCAGGTGTAATATATATTAGTTTATGTACATGACCCATTTAAATTGCACTTAGATTGACCAAATTTCTCTCACAAATCAGGAAACACCGATACCAACACAAACAAGGTCGAGATTGATTTATATTTTCATCTTTGTTCTTTGTTTACTTTACAGCCATTGTGACGAGTTTTTATATCATCATTGAGAATCATTGTGAATGTGTGACACGCTTTATTCATTAGAGATTTTAGTAGAGTAGATTTAGTAAAGGTTTTTTAAAAGGTTTCTTATTTAGTATGTGGATTGTGTGTGTGTGTGTGTGTGTGGGTCAAACACAAAAATATCTCTCCACGATTTACGATAAAATGCATTGTTTTTACACATTCGTAATTTTTGAATTGGACCCAAGTATTTTTAGTCACTTTGATTTTCTTGTTTTCTTTAAGATTTACATTGGTTTAATAACAAGTTTATTTGTAATTTTAATTTACACCAACTAAGGTAGTTAAAATAGTTTTATTTCGCTAAAAATATTTTGTTTTAACCTACGAAAAGGGAAGTTCAAAATGTTTTTTGAGGTTATTTTTAAAACTTTTGCTGCTAAAGTTAATTTTTTGCATAGAAATTGTTTGCAGTTTGTGAAATTAGTTAATTACAGTTTATGTCATAACTAGTAATATTATTGGTCTCATTATCTATATATGGTGTATTTATATCAGCTAGAACCAAATTTACTAAAGCCGCCATTGCGGAGATGTCAGAAACTGCAATATTGGTTGCCTACTTGTCAAAACTTAATAAGTTCAACACCAGATGGAGTAGCAGTTATTTCTACTTCACTTTGAGTGAATTATGGCGCATAAAATAAAAGATTAAAACTTTCTGCGCATGCGCAGCTAAAATTCATTGTTATGTTTACTGATTAATCGCTATCTTTGATTGACTAGACGTGCACTATTCATGTTTTCTTAAAATTCTCTTAACGATAACTGGAAATATAAACTGGATATGTAAATGAGAATATTTTTTGTCCGTAGATAATACTGTAAAGTCCAAAGATATAGAATGTAACACAGAACTATGACTAAGAGTTAAACGTTAAAATTGCTTTCGTATTGTGTTGCACGAGCTCAAAGTTCAGCTAGTTATCAAATTCATTTATTATTGGAGATCTATGTTCTTCATCATCGTTAAATTTAATTTACTCGTCGAAAATTATTGCCCTTCTTCGGTTATACACTGAGTATAATTAACGATTGTATTCGGATTGTTTTTCGAGCGCGCGTGCGCGCCGTGCGCTAGATTTAAGTAGTGTTTTTTTTTTCATCATCATTATTAATGAGTGTATACGGAACCACGACACAAAAAAAATTTGGCACTTGCATCACTTAAAAAACATCCGAGTATCGACGTGTGGATGTTTTTCAAACACATACGACGTTCTTATCGACACATGGTAAATCGGTACAAAAACAACGAATCTCTGGCTCGCACCTCTGCCGCAAAACAAGCCGGGACCGGAAAGAGCCCGGACACAGAACCCGTAATGAGAAGGAGGGTTATTCTCTCAAGTATTTAACTATTATGTACATTGTTATGTACAATATATTTTTGGGTTTTGGTTTGTGTTGAGTATTTTTTTGCGAAGGGAATATTTACACAGACATGATTCGCTTCCGGTGTCGATATTTGTAGGTTATAGTCACGAATCAACAAGATATATTTCTAGAAAAGGCTTGTTCCGTTCAATTGTTTCAAAAATTGAAAAGGTTAAGGGTTGTCAAGTGCGCACGCGCCGCTTGGCGGTCTTGAAGTGGGTTACTCACCGCCGCCGCTCATTAATCCCGCTTTTGTTTCGGGCGGCACTTGTTTCCGGAAGCAATCGTCGAAGAACTGGCCCATTGAACGGTAGAGGTGTTTTTTAACTCCTCCTAAACTATGACTTTCATCAGGGTACATCTGAAATTATAAAAAATTGCAATTTTTACTTCAACTTATATATTTTTATAATATTAATTAGGAACTAATATTTTTTAAATAGAAATTTATAGATTATGAAAAGACCTATCGATTGACACTTGAATCAACTTTGTAGCTCATCTGAGTCAAAAGTTATAGCAAAAAATAGTTTGAAAAAATGAAGAAACGTATCTAACCTAAAAATGAACCTAACCTTTTTATTTTCTGTCGCGCGCAATTATACAGTTCTAATATATGCTACCAAATTTACTCATTCTTTAGCTATTCAATGATATAATTATATTTTTGCATTGTTGCGTCAAATAATCAATAATTTCTAATTGGTTCCACTAACTTGTTGTCTGAATAGCACTCCAGCATCAGATAAAGCCTTGACAAGCGCCATCGATTGTTGCAGATGCACGTTATCATCAGCAGTGCCGTGTATCAAGTAGAACATTTTGTCCTTCAACAGATGCGCCTTTTTGCACACGTCCGCCTCGTCGTAACCCTTGTAGTTGTCGGTCACGTTCGGTAAACCCATGTAACGCTCCGTGTAAGCAGAATCTGCCCCCAAAAAATACATTTTCAACAAAAACCAACAAAATTTCAACTTGAATCTCACCATAAAGTTTCCAATTTGTGACAGGCGCAACGGAAACCGCACAATGAAAGACATTTTTCGTGCTGGCCAAGGCCAAGGCCGACACAAACCCGCCGTAACTCCATCCCCAAACCGCCACACGTCGATTGTCCACGTAATGTAAGTTGTCCCGCAAGTACCTAGAGAATGATTGAAAAAGTTAGTTCCGAAAGTTGCGGTTGCGACAACTACCTACTCGGTTACTTCCAACTGGTCAGACACTTCCACCGTGCCGAGTTTATAGTAAACTTGATGCAACAGTTTGTGGCCTTGACCGCCCGACCCGCGCCCATCGATTTGAGCGACGATGAAATCTTTATTTCCGGTGAGGTATGTGTTCCAATCAATGCGCCAGCGCTCCGTCACTAATTGACTCCCGGGGCCGCCGTAAACTTGCACCACCAGTGGATACCGTGTTATCTCATCCTCTCTCAACCCAGGCGGAAGAATGAGTCTTACGTGCGCTTCGTGTTCATCCGAAATCTGAACCAGGAAACTTTTCACTTGTGGCATTGCCATCTTGGCCACACGTTCCCTTAAAGCAGTATTATTCTGCAACACCATGATCAATTTAGGTTTCGGGAGGGTTGCTTTATACAAGATACTCGTAGGTATTCCAGGACCCAAACATTCCAGGACATAATAATTGGGTACTGTTGGGCTAAAAATGGCGTTGTGATAGAGGCAAGGTGGTTCAACAACATTGGTCTTCTTGGGTTTCTTCTTTTTCCTCCGTGGGGCAGGTGTAGTTGTGGGTTCATCTTCAGACCAGTCATCATCCCATGGTTTACTCCTCGGAACCAAGGGTAAATCTTCCACATAGAAGGGAGGTAACGTAGGTGTTGGTTCCGGGACGCAGGTTAAACACACTGGTGGTTGAAGAGAAGCCCCGGATCTAGGTGGAACGGAAGCAACGCGGTAGAGGTGTTGCTGGCCGGGTTTTCCTTCGGGAATGCCTAGAAAGTAACTAAACAGCAACGTGGCGACATTAATGTATCGTAAAATCCTCGCGCAAGTGGTTGAAGACTCACATCACGTCGTTGGAGTGGTCCCAGGCGAGTATTCGCGTCACTTCGTACCTCCCGTGAGTCAGCGAGAGGGTGCGTCGTTTTGAGATGTTCACTTCGATCGCATGGCGGAAGTATCCCGCTGGGCCGTCTTTAACCGGTGCGACTGTTATGTACTTAGCGCTATCCGGACTGAACAAAGGACTGTCACCCATATCTACCCAACCCTCTCCATCACCCGAAACTCTTTGAGTCTTTAGAATTAAAAAATCACCAAAAATGTCAAATCTAACCTCAATATGTTTTTGGTACTTACTTCAACACAATGCCAAACCGGAGTTTTGCAAATGGAGACTATCGAGAGGTTCTGAGCACGGTTCAACCAAACCACCGATATTTCAGTTGAGCTTATCCATGATACGGCGGTAAAATAATATTCTCTACACAGAATAAAACTTAGGTTAACCTAACCTAACCTAAAAGGGATAAGAGATAAACTTACTGATTGTGTAGCTGCATTGGTGGTTTAACTTCCCGCATGCGAATGTTGCTTCGATCCGCAAGGTCCGCCAGTGTGAGAGTAACCTGTGGATTGCGCGTGCCTGGCTTCGGATACCGCAGAGATCTAATATCCGGATAGAGACGTCCTTCACCGCTGGATCCGTACCAAGGAAAACGCAGTTCCTCAACAAGACTATCGTTGAACGTAGCAAAAACCAACATGTGACCATCTGCTGACATCCATATCGCACTGTTGCTCCCAAGTATCTCCTCTAAACCCGCAATAATTACACCTTTGCAGATAAAGCAAAGTGATTAATTTGCTTACCCTCATAGAGCCAATCCGGAACACCATTGCTAACAACCCCCGGCACTGCATTGCTCGTAACACGGTATTCGTTGTGGGAAAGCGGAGCTGGTCGATAGTAAATGTCATAATTCTGGACAATAATCAGGCCGTGGTCGCGCGGTGCCCATTCAGCCAACAAGAGAAACGGATGCTGTTCTTCGGTTTCGGGTAGTGGTCGCACCGGATATTCACTCCTATAGTAATCACCACAACCACACATACAGATCATATATATTACATTGATTAATTAAATTTACCTTGTGGCGATATCATAAACCAAATATTGCGCCAGATAGGAATATCGAAAGAGCTTTTTGACGTTTTGAGCCAGCAGGAGATATCGTTGATCCGGCGAGAGTGTAAATCGGGCAGGATTCAATCGTTGCTGTTAAAACCCACAAAATCCACACTCAAAAAAAATTTCATCCGGAATAAATCCTGATTAACTTACATAGGTTTGATTGGACATGAGTGAGCGCACTTTCAGAGTCGTCACGTTCATTAAACTAATCCCACCGAATTCATCTTTGTATATCAGCTCATCAGCTGCGGAGAAAAAAAATATAAAAGGGTTTTGAATGGGTTTTATCTGGCGTTGTGGGTGCTTACATGTAACCCAAGTGCCATTGAAGCGCAGCGGTTGAAAATCATGGCCGAGAATGTCCTGCAGTTTGAAGCGATTACCCTTAATCCTTGGACCTTCATCGGGCGGGGTGAGTAACACGACAGAGGTGACGATCAATGCCAGCACCATCACGATCACCATTAGCGCGATAAGAATACCGCGCCAGTTGCGCTGGTTCGTGTTGCTCGACACCAGCTCCTTCAAAAAGCAATACACAAACGCATGTAGATTCCGCTTGAGCTGACAGTGCGAATGGCCGCAGCTGTAATTAATGATTTTCTCGAGTGCTCATTAAATGTAACTTATTGTACTCGCATATATGTATTCTGTTTGTATTTCTAGCACTGTAATTACATTCCGGATGGATGAATTGTTCCATTGTGCATTGTTGTGTTTCTTTACAGTCGGAATAAGTATAAGAGTATTTATTTGTTACTTTTATTAAATTGAATAGAATTCAGGAATCAATTGTTGAAGCGCTTGAGTTTTACTTTTGAAAAGAGTTGAAATTGAAGACATTATCGCGAGTCAGCAAGGCGGGTTGACGTTCGCCAACTTCCGCGAATGAATCCTATTTTAATTAAAATTTCTAATCCGTGCGAGATTGCATGCCATTAATTAAATTTATAGCTTTTAAAGCGTCTCTGCATAACTTAATTATGCAGGGTTGAAGATTTTAAGCCTTATTTGTGTGGAATTTGTTAAAAACAGTGCTTTACGGAGCATAAAAACATAAAAAACATAAAATTACTCTAATTTTGAGAATTATTAGCATTTTAGCGAATAAATTTAAGTAATATAGTTAATTTATTATTGGTATTCGTAATAAAATGGTAAATTTAATAAAAATTACTCATACAGCAAAAACATGGTTATAGATATATAAAACAAACACAGATGTCGCTAGATGATACAATTTCTATACAAAAAACAATGTCGTGTTAGTTACACCTCTTATAACTCAAGAACGCCTGAACAGATTTTGATGATCTATGCTTTATTAGATTAATCATCTTCTCGAATAGCAGAATAACTATTAAAATATAAAAAATATGATTGAATTGCACTAAAATTGCTAAATATTATAATAATAGTGACACCTGAAACCTACGCACCTCAAATTTTCTTCCACATTACTAAATTATTATAATAAATGTAACATTCACGTGTTTCCAATACTTTTGACATTATTACATCCACGTTACAACTTGTAATTCAAGAATGGCGTGTACACAAAGCTCAAGTACACGAGAAAAAGCGAGCAAACGAGAGAAAAAGATGGAATACGCACGACAGGCCACGATGACTTTAATTCTATTATTAATTCCATTATGTGCCTGTGCTTGAGTGGCAGCCTGATCTTTTCATCCTGCGATCAATATCAATATAATTTCTAATTGGAACGAAATAAAATTGCCTACAGAGGCAAAAAAAAAGTTAATTGAAAAGGTGGAACACAGTAGATACTTAATTTGCATTTCAATCAATTTCAATTAAAAGCGAAGAAAATTAAAACAAGCTTCCATGGAAGTCCAAAGCTAACACATAGGTATAAAGAATAATAACCCGCCGAAGTCTGTTCATCAATCTTGGCCGGTGGAGTTTTTTTTGTTCTTGCGCATTAATGCGGAGACCGAACTGGTGGAAATCCTAGTTGACAGTTTAATTTGCACTAAAATGAGGATCACGTTTGTCTGGACTTCTTTAGCAGCAAAAACTTTTGGGAATAAATCATTAGAACAATCAACTAGGAATTAAGAGTTTGTATTAAGTTGAATAGAATTTACTTTCACCTGAGGTATAAAAAATTATGGGGAGTTAAAAAATGATATATTTGGAGAACTTATCCAAAAATTTAAGTAAAAAAATTGAAGTTAGAGCCATAATTAGTTATAATATCTAAAAAACAACTTTCATCCCTAATTTCACCCCTTTAAAGTGTCACTTTTGCAACAAAAAGTAGCTTATGTCAATTTCCATTTACTAATCTGTCATTATACAAAAATTATAAAAATATCTTCCGTAGTTTAGCCGTGAAAATGGCACAAACCGACAAAATCAAATTTTTTTGACTTAAAATCTTAATATAAATTGTGTTCCTTCATATTTTTTCCAAAAACTATTTCCTAAAAGTTTTAAATTTCTATTGAAATACTTTTTAGATAAATTTCTTAAATTTTTAGTAGCCCTAGGCTGTAAATACTAAGAAATAATATTTCTGCACTTAAAACAATTTCCCTCAATATTACACATACCCTTCTGCTCCAGTTTCTCGCACAAGCAATCAACAATCTTCAATCTTGTGATCTATTTCGAAATTCTGTCGACCGACACATGCCATCGAGTAACTCAATATCCAACAATATAAAAGTCGAGGTCGAAGTGATAAAAATAACTTCCATTAAGCCCGAAAGTCTGCTCTTCAGCGCTCCGCTCGTCCCGGTGCCGGGAACCAGCGTGCACACGCGTTTCATTTTCATTTTCTATTTTCTACAGTTCACATTTTTTACTCTTCGCCATTAGATTACAATCGCATTAGAATCAAGCACGATTAACACCCAAAGTTAACCGTGTTCCACGCTGTCATCCATATATAACTTGGGCTATAATTAAATATGTATAATTGCGTTAAAACTTTATCAGTTTGCCGATGCCTACCACCGTAGGCGGCGTCTATTCCTGCGCGAGCATGAATGTGGTATTGTGCACACGGCGTGTGGACGTGAATGAAACTTCGGAATTAAATCGCTGATAAAGGCCGGCGATGTGTGAGTGTGTTCAATTCTGGTGTGTAGGTGAGTTGAAAGCCAAGGTACAAGGACGACAGATAATCGAGTTTAAACAAATCAATACCGGGCGGCTAATTTAATTCATGACTTGGGTATAATCGTTTGCTGCCTGCGGAAGGATTTAAATCTAATTAATTATGTAGATACGTTTCACACACAATTTTAATTGATGCGTAAAATTAATTAAAAGTAAATATACTTAAAAAGTTTTTGTATTTTTTGTGTATGTTCCGCCTATTTTTGTACTGCGCATGCGTGAGTGACTTTAACTGGTAAGTCAAGTATATGATTAGTTTTACGATGTTTATGATTACCCAACGGCTTTATTTTTTAGATTTTTCTGCAAAATAAATTGGATACATAAAAAAAATGTGAAAAAAATAATTTTTCTTGTTAATCGTGTTTTCTATTTTCCCTGTTTACAAATCTATGTAAATTCATGATCCCACACTGTAACCCAACATGCACGCATGCATATTAAGTCGAAACGAATGCACGAGAGCGCAAAAGCGCCCGCCTGCTTGTGCTTTAGTCACCCACTTTCGCCGTGAATCGATAATTGGGAAGAGAGAAGTCTGCCCCTGTTTATGCCGCTGCTTCTGAAAAGAGCGCGCACGGGGGTTGCTCCCAATGTGTGTGTGTGTGTGTTGGGCATACACGCCAACATTACCTACACTAACAACGCCTTTGCCGCTGCCACCGCCGCTGGAAATCGTCTCATTCGACGTGCGAAAAGATGTTGCCCAGCACGCGAACGACATAAAACAGCAACTCCCTGATGTCGACCAATTTCGGCGCTGGCGAGACTCCGAATGGTAATGACGTTTAATCGGAAGCAATTCGAGTATATCAAGTGAATGTATACGATAAAATTATCTTGCATTTCATTTCACACAAACTACACGACAAGAAATAAAAATAAAGTAAAAATAGAAAAATAAAAAAAAAAAAAAAAAAATGGAAAAGTTGAATTTATTTGAGAAAAATGGTATTTTTTGGCAAAAATTCAATTTGGACGTAATGTATTGTTAAGGTGGACGTGATGAAAACCGGGAGGACTAAAGAGAAAATAGAGAATATTGATTGCGATCATTGGCAAGCGGCCATCAATCTCATGCGGAATTAGATGGTGTTGACTTTCCCAAAACTACTATTCAACAGGCACGCAGGAGACAACGTCTCTTTTTGCTAATGCAGTCAATAATGGACCTACTGATCTATTGTTTTGACAATTGATTTGTTTAAATGTCTTTCACAGTTCTTTCGTAACATAATAATACAAATATGTAGCACACGATTCGATTTTTCATCAAAAAATAGACAAAAATGTGTTTTTTGCAAAATTTTGAGAAAAACCAGTTCTTATTTATAAAGAAAAACTAAAAAATCTAAAAACCAAATTAAACAAAACTTTCTTAAAATATTATCAATAATATGTTCCAAATCTACCGATTTTTCCATCAAAAATATCAAAAAACGACTTTTTTGCTAAAATTTTTGAAAAAAATGTCCAAAAAAAACTGAACATATTTGAATCATATTTATATAATACTTTAATAACAAAATATTATTATTATGTATTACACATAATATTTTTTTGCCCAAAACAATTAAATCACAGCTTTTTGCCAAATTTTGCAAAAAAACGTTCCTAAAAATGATTAATAGATACTTTTACGACTTTTCTCAAAAAAACTAGTTAACCTAGAATCAAACAAGTATATAAAGATACCCAGTGTAGTTTACCACTTCCCCAAGCATTCGCGATAAGAACATCAATAAAAATAATGTCAGCGTGCTTGACTGACATTTACCACCGAGTGTTTTTTCCAACCTGTGCGTGTTTTTATGCATGTAAAAGATGTGTAACTAACCTCATCGTCAAAATTATCGTGATCAGCCATCTGTGCGCGAAAATGCTCACGCCGTTGTTTGCGTCGCGCTTAATTAAGGCCGCTCTCGGCAGGTCGCGTAATTCTCCAAGGAAACCTTAGCCCGATGGCGTGATGATGCCCATTTGTTGTTCGCACGTACGACGATTACGCAATGCGAACATGCTTGTTATTTCCGAAACACCGCCAGAATCCTTTCATCTTCAATAGAATTTATTTTTCCCTGCAACAGAAAAAGTCATCATCCGAATATTATTACTCTTTTAATATAAAGTTGATGTGAATGTGATATGAATGCGAATATGAACACGGCGAGAAACAGTCGCGTTTCTTTTTATTTTATTTCGATCGATAAGATGTTTTATTTGATGGAGCGGAACAATAAAAGCCAGTTATTTATGGCCTTTCTCACGTGACTGAGCTTTTGTAACTTTGCAAGTTTAGCCGCGACGGGGTCGTTTTCTTCTTTTGTGATCGGAGCAATGAATCATTAACGCCAAATCCGCACATTTCGCACAATAGGTGAATATTTATTTCAAAAACAACAAAAATTCATTAAATATTCAAAGCATCACACAACCATTGATTAACTATTAATATTTTACAAGGTATAATCGTATAATTTTATTTATTAAAGCTTTAAATTGCATGACATTAATATTTTCTGTTTTATTGATTAAACTATTATTGGGACGATAAAATAAATAATAATGCTTACCTTATATTAAGTTATTGCAGATATTTGTTGTTTGTGAATTGGTAATTCCGGGTTACTGTGCAGGAATATTACGGCGGTGTTGGCGGCGGTGACGGCGGCAGAAACGCGTCCACAGTGCGCGGTCTCGCGAGCAGGACTGGCGGCTGGCAGCCCGGGATATTGAACGCAAGCGCCCTACCGCAATGTTTATCGTCGCGTATGTATTTGCCATTCGAAATTCAGAACACAATCGTGCCTACAAGACTACAACCCCTAACGCACAATCGGTTTTATATGTGTTTTTCTTTGTTTGTTTGTTACAAGCACTACAGGTGATGTAGTAAATCGCGTTGTGAATTATTTATTGCTGAAAATTGAAGGCTTTAAAAGAGATGAAAGGGTGAAACTAAAAAATTGGTTAAGCACTAAACGGGTAGGCAAATAAGCGAGCAGATTGATGTGTCCGGTTGTGCGTATGACTCTGAAAGGATGATTTATGATGCGGACGAGTTGTGGAGGCGCCGGGCTTTTGGTAAAAAATTTAATCATTTGCGACGAGAGGATGAAAAATGACCAAAAATAGATTTGTATTGTAGAAAATTCAATATTGACTAAAATTGAGCTACTTTTTTAATTAAAATGAAAATTTATGTTAAATTATTATTAAATATTTGATTTTTGACAAAATATTTTGAAAAAATGTAACAAAAAAATTGACTATAAAAATTAGATGAAAGTAAGTATATTGCAATGTTGTATTTTATAGTATAGTTTTGGAACTAAAAAACAGGATTTAAAGAGCCATCAAACGTTTTAACTGTTTTTATTATTGCAAAAACATTCTTATTTTTTTGCAAAAAAAAATTCATATAAAAAATTGTTGTTTGCAGCTTATTCTAGGTGAAAATGTATTGCAATTTCGTATAATAGTTTTACAAGCATTTTTTTTAGAATAAAATGAACCAATGCATGCAAAAAATAACAAAAAATAAAACACCAAATATTTTTAACAATAAAATGCAAAAGTTTGTTTTCTAAAAATTGGAATATCTGCGTTTATTACTTAACACATAAAATTGCCAAATATATTGAGGTATAAAGAATTTAATTGCGATTTTAATGGATTTTATAAAAACTTTTAGAAAACAAAAAATGTTTTTTTAGAAAATAACGGGAAATAATATACAATTAATAAGTACAACGTCATATTTTATTGTGCATACAATAATACAAGTATATACATATACACTTTATATTAAACATACGATTTATTTATTTTTTGCATGTGTTTCTCTTGTTTTTTTTTGTTATCATCTTGTTTAAGTACTAATTCTGGAAACTCGTTTATTTTTCCTCTCAATATGGACAGAATTCAACAACAAATAGTTTCATAGTTTTCATTCATTTTTTATATCAGAAAAACACAATCAAACAAAACAACGGTACTATATAGGTCCTAGATATCAATAAGTCGATTAATCACTTAAATAATTCATTATTCGATATGAAATTCACAAATTTTATATTCGTCCCTTCGTCCCCCATCCGTCCATGAACTAAAAAGCACCCGTCAAATTTTCTTGCTTTTTTCACCTCAAACTCAAAATCATGATTTTTCAAAAAAAAACACAAATCAAACCTATGACCTGACGATCAACGTGGTGGTTTTCTCGTTAGTCACAAAACGTTTCTTTCGGTATTTACGAAAAAGGATTGTCTTGATGCGTTCAATGTGCTCGAGAGTCTTTTGAGTCTTGAGCGTTTTTTTTTTGAAGGATTCCTCATTTGTTTGTCTCATTTCAATCTTCATCGATCTTTCATCGTTCTCGATTACGCTCTGGCTCTTTCAATCACATCATCATTTAAAAATATTTCTAACTTAACATCACATCAATGTTATTTTAATTTATACGAATTATGCCTATCGTGAATATATGAGCGCTAACGCGGAAACCATACGTGTAAACATTAAAGCTCAAGAAAATTTGCGCAAGTGTTGAACACACAGTTTATTTCTCATCATCATCTTTATTTGATTATTATATCCTTAGAGGTTGTTTAAATCTAACAAACGAATTGGGCGAATTCAGGCGGAAAACGTGTGTTCTCTGTTTCGTGTCGTGTAATGCGAAAGATAAGATCAAGATAAGATTCAAAGACGAAGTCAACAAATATGTAACAACAAGTAATGGCGTAAACATCGTTTCGTTTATGATAAATTTATAATATAATTACTATGTTATTCATAATTAGCTAATTAAGGAATAAAAAACTTGAGCTAGAATTCTATAGATACGTATTGACATTTTGTCTTTTCGTTCACACTTAAATGTACTTTTTTTTCTTTTATAAATATCTCGCGCTGCGCGTAACGCCAGCGACGTGTTTCACTCGTCTTAGTTTACAACCTTGAGATGCAGAAAATCTTTTCAAATCAATTATTCCAATTGGTTTCATTGAGACACATGCGAGTAAAACCTTTTCAGGTACTGTACGGACAAGAAAATCAGTATTCCACGCAACACTGTTGCTCAGATGAGGTTAAATGCTGTACAACTGGTTGCATAAATTCTCAACTCATCCGATCACCAGTGTTGGCGTTCATTTTGCATCATATAACTTAAATAAACAATCTGCAAATGTGTTTAGACATATTTAACCACCACACTAATGATTCACGGACAGATACAATAAAATTTGAAGATAAACATGAATAATTTTGAATCGAATACGAAGAGTATTAGAACATCGTGTGCTATGATATTTTGTATTTTCGTTGTTCAAGAAACCATGCGCATGACAATAGTGTAGGATTCGTTCGTTAGATTTCCGCATCGCTTGTACTTTCATTCATAGAACATTTATCAATAAAAAAATAATTAATGCGGTGATTGAATATGCTCAACTTTTGTGTGTGAGGCTGAAATGAAATCTTCTGGCGTAAGCGTATTTACAACAACATGCGTTTTATAAGATATCTTGTATAAAATGTCTTTTCATTTAAAGTTCAAATGTGCGTACGTGTGAATGTGCAGTGTGTAATCATAATAAGCGCGTTGTTTGTATTTCTTTGTCTCTCATATTCTTTGAAATTTTTGTTTTTTTTGGCACACGATGAGTTTTTCGGGGTTTTTGCTCGTCGTCACTTCGCACGCACGTGTGAGTTCCATTTATACATAAGCTTTGCTTGTGTTTTCTTCGATAGTGTTTAAGTTTTCTTATCTAATTTAAAATCCGTATCATTAGGCTCGTAATTATCACAATGAAATAAACCGAAATGTGTGACCCGATAAATCAGACAACAACAACAACAAGTATACAACAATCAAACTCAAACGTCTCCCACTTCGTCGATTTATGTAAAAATGAGCAATAGATGAATATTATTTGCTTAGAAAATGAGTGCGTTGCTCGCTAGGCCGAAATCAAAACATTCGTTAGATATAAATGGACGTTGTTCCAGTATATCGCTTACACCTGGACAAATTGCAGCATTTTCTCTACGCTAGTTTATTAAAAAAGTTTGATTAGTTTCGAGAATTTTACGTAATATAACCAGACATTGCTGTGTTTGAATCTTTGGAAGAATTGATTACAAGTACAATGTGCGTCTGTTTTGCCGAAGTTGAAATTAAACTAAAATTATCAATAATAACAATGAGCACCAGGAAAATATAAAATATAAACGTTCAGAGTTTTAGAGTCACTGACGGACTTTTTCTTTATATCAAGTGTTTGCTTGTTTTTGTAATTAGTTTATGTCCGATATAAATATATTGTACTAGTAGAGCGTTGACGAAAAGTCAAGACAATGAGCAGCGTTTTACCGAGGAGTAACATTAATCATTTATAAAATGTTACATTACAGATAGTTCGGGCGAGGAAAACATACAACACTTGTCTGCAGGTTTGAAAAACACCGAATTATACACGCTTTTATCCAGAAAACGAAATCACTTCGTTTCCGATGCGTTGAAAAGCGACATAAAACACATCGATTGATTTGACGACTTTGGGGTACGTTTATCTCTTTATCTTATACGCATGTATAGTTTCCTTTAGTTTAAAATCCGCTCATCGTTATACGCTAAGTGAGCATTTAGTTATAGAACGATTGTCTCCTTGAATTTTCTTTTTGTTTTTCGCTTTTGTGCTGTATATTATCTGGATGTTTGCTTGACTTTTTGTCAACGTGTGTGTGGAACAAAACATCGCTAAATCTTTGCTAACCTACACGCTCTCGAATTCAAATCCGTAAAATCCCATTCCTGCACTCATCGAATCTTGATTCTTAATTTTTAAGTATATAGATAATAATTTCATCTAATTATACATACATATACATATACAATTAACATATACAAATATTATCTTCTTGCATTTCCTTCAAATGTTTCTTGAGTAGATTCGTATAATAATTAATAATAAATTTATGTATATTTATAATAAATATTTATATTTATATATAGATAGATTCATAGTAATAGACTTTTTAAAAAGATCACAACACAGAGTTAAACAGTACCGACATGGCATCAAGTTACTTTTTTTTGGTTTTTTCGTTTTGCTTTACTTTCATCATTAAAACTTTGCTTATTCGATTTTCACTGCAAATACAAACTATTGTATTATTTTTTTATTTTTTCTTAGTTTTGTTATTATTCAATTACCTACGTTCTCGTGTTTATATTCATGTATCTTGTATCTTGTATGTTATTGAAATATTGACGAATCAGTACATATATATTTTACACCTTCATTTATTGTTGAATTAACACATAGTTATGATGATTCGAATATTTGTCTTTCAGAGTTTGTTGCAACTGATTTATTTACAAAGTGTTTTTCTCTTTAATTCTTTTATTTACCTCATTCTGCTGCATTCTGCTTTTAAAATTTAATTTAAATTGAGCATATGTTAAATTCATTTCATTTCACGTTCATACAACATACCAGATGAAATGCGCATCACTTCTCCTCTCTGACGCTTAAATTTATATTATGGATTATCATTTATAATTTTTATAAGTACTAATAATTTTTGGCTCTCTTTTGAATTTTGTTCTCATTTAGTGAATTATGTTTCAATATTGCTCATCGTTTGATTCTTTTCGTTCGAATAATTCTTTTCCAGCATCGAACCGAGTAAAACTTGAGTAGGAAACAGCTAGAAATTGAATGCTTGAGCAAAATTTAGCGGAAATTAAAGAAAATTATTGAGTTTGTGTGTTTCAGAAAATATCTCGCCATAGCGTCCGTGTTCAGCACGTTTTTAAAATTGATTTTCATCCTGTTTGCACGTGTTTATTGTATTTGCGCGGCAATTGCATCACGGGAATCTTTGATTACTCGTCTAGCGTGTTTTGCGAATGTCTGCGAATGCGAATCCTGCTCCTCCAAGCCTCATTTTCTTGTGAATAATGTGATGCATTAGTGTCTCACTCGACAATCGAAAGGCACTAACGTTACGCATCGGTAACGCAACACAACCCATATTATTTTCTTTATAATTATTCTTCATTTTTTTTCTTTTTGTAATATATCTTATGTTTTACTTCTTTACCTGTGAATACACGTGTTTTTTTTTGTTTGTTTTTAGTTAATTTACATTTAATTATGCAAATATAAATATATCTGTTTTCTTGTTTCCTTTAAAAGTGGAGTTTATAGTAAGTGGATTTTGTTTTGAATTTCGAAACATAGTCATGGAACAATTCGTTTGATTTTCAAGTGAGTTTTTGTTTAGTTATTTTTGAGTGAAAACGTTGTCTCCTTACTTACACACAATTTTTGTACACACATTATTTTATACGACTAGACATTTCGTTCCTTTTGAACGATTTTATATTTTTTCGGAAATCTACAAACCAGGCGTTGTTTTTTTTAATTAAAAAAAATCTCATCGCTGGTTTGCGTCAAACTTTCGACACGTATGCGAAATTTGCAGAAAATTTCACACGTTTATATAAAAATTAATCTTTATAAATGCACAATACATAATTAGTTATCTGTTACATCATCATGCATACACATTTTCTCTCTCTCTGTTCCTATATGTACGCTGATTTCTTAAGTTTCGTTTTGCATCTTTGATTAACTCGTAGTTTTATTTTGATTGCCTGTTAGCTAGGTCGCTCACCCACTTACGTGTTCAGGTTCGGGGCTTGCTCGACACCTTATGTCTTAACTAAGTACTGGATGAAGTTGGCACGGAGTCGAAGGTTGATTGTGCGGCGGCGGTGACGCCGCCCGAAGACGTGGTCAGCAGCGTGAGGACGTGCTCTTTGTCTTTTTGCTTCGGGCGCGACGGCTCCGCGTCCGGTGGCCGATGAGATTTCATGTGCGCGCTGCGACTTTTGATTTTTGTGAAAACTCTGCAAGAAAAACAATCAGAAAAATGAATCCGGGGGTCTAACAAGGTAAAATAAAATAAAATGGCGGAAGATTAGGGCCTATAAGTTGAGAGATTTGCTGTAGAATGTAGAATGTGCAGTTTTTGGTTTGAAATTTAGTATTTGGATAGAATGTGAAGCAGAAATTCAAGAGCAAGCTTAGATATATTCATAAAGGAAATCAGAGAATCTGTTGAGAACTGGAGTAGTTTTTAATAAATTTTCATCTCTATCCTGTTTATGTTCAGGTTTATGCTCAAGTTGTTCATGCCAGTTTGAAGAATGTGAGCCTAAAACATTGATCCAACACAAAAAGGTAGTTGATTTTTTGTCGGAAAGAAAAACGAAAAAGACTAAAACACAAGTATAAGATACCTCCGTTCCGTTCTTTGGATGGTTTCGCAAATATTTGCACACTTGCAATATTGCAGCAACGTAATGATAGGTTAGCACGTAAGCAGCATGTAACTTGCGCTAAACACCGATATGGCTCTCAAATTTACCTTATCTATGGTTTTTCTATTGGTGAATGGAGTACACTTACTTCCCACATATCTTACACGGATAGTCTTCGGTGGAGTCGGGCGCGTGGCACGGCATCGATCGCTTGCCGAGCAATTGCTGCAGGCCGAGCACGCCGCCGCCACCGCCTCCACCGTGGCCCGTCGATATCGACATCAGCGGCTCGGTCGGGGGCGTCGGCGAGCCGCGCGCCGTCCCGCCGTGTATCCGAATGTGGCCGTTCAGCGCCGCTCTGGAATTAAAGCTCTGCGAACCCACGAAGAGAACACGGATGACAAAACCTCGCTTTGCACATGATTAAACAATGCGGGGACTTACGGCTGAACAATCGTGAAACTCGCATATGTAATTCCGGTGCTCGTGCAGTGGCATCGGCGATCCGGCGTCGGCGATCTGCGGAAAGTTTTTGCGATGATAATATAATCAATTTTTGGTCTGCTGGGGGTCAGAGGGATTAGTGGCTGTAAGCCCAGCTTACCCCGAGTAGTTTCACGTCCGGGTAGGGTTTCTCTTCACCGCTTTCGTAACTACGCGCCGCCCCCGCGCTGCGTTCGTGGTGCTCTTTGTGCTTTCGATATTCGTCGGTGCAGACCTTCTTCCACATATAGTAGAACTGAACGCATTGTTTTAATGATTTTGTACCAACCTAAAACCCATCACATTAAATAATCTCTTCTTATATTCCTATAATAAATCCTAATTACCTCTTGAGCGATAAAGTAAAAATCTTTATCATGTTTGAGCAAAGCTTGATGGAAAAGTTCCGTCTCCTCGACAGTCCACTTGTCCGTCTCGGAGTACTGATACGTGAGCAGCGGATGTCCGTTGTGCAGGTTCGGAGTCGGTTGCATCAGCTTCAACATTGCCTCCTGTGGGAGATGAAGATCAAAGCAATGCAAAATCTTCGCAACGGACAAAAACTTTAATCGAGTTAAGTTTGATACTCACGTGAATGTTGCCGCCGCACATGTGTAGTAAATGCATGGCGTACTCCTGATTCCGGCCGCCTCCGGGAACGGCCGCGCAGCACGCAAAGTCCAAGTACATGTCGACTGCAACGTGACACGAACCAGCTTTAGTACCACTCTTTTGCACGTGATGCGATAATACGTACCTTCGCTGTCGCTGCATTGCAGTATGCCAGGGTCCCACAGCAGGTCCTCGGGCGATCGGTCCTGCGTGACTCGATGGTAGGACGGCATTACCGCAGGGATGCTGCACTGGAACTTGGGGCCTACGTTGATGTGCGGTGTGGAATCTGATTCAGGTACGGATTCGTTGCACCACGTACTTGCCACTTCTTCATGATCTAAAATGTTAAACAATCAAAACTTTAAAACCATACTTTGAGGTTATAGGTGAAACATACCATGTGTCTTTTGTTTTAAATATATGTACAACCCGGAACCGGGTCTGCTTGGATTTAAAATTGGCTGCGGAGTGTAAGCTGCCGCACCCTGTGGTTTGCTCCTTGTCGCTCTGAGACGAGACTGGTGCAACACGGGCAGTTGAAGGGGATCAGTTCGCGGTCGTTTCCGCGACAACCGGACTGGATTAGATGTCATGCTGGAACCCCAAACACATGAAATTATGGTCAACGTGTTTAAATTAATTCCTTATTTAACACTCACGTCGTGGGACTGAGGAAAACATCATGTGAGATGTCTTCCATTTTGATCTCCTTGGACTTCACAGCCATCGTTTTGACTTTGGATAGTTTCTGAACCAAGGTGGGTTTCATACCCATTGGTTTTGCTTCACCAAGTTCTTTTTGATTAAGTGTGGTTGTGGTGCTCAAAAGTGGAGCACCTGCAACCAGAATATTTTTTGCTTGGAAGTTACCACCTCCTGTTTGGATAAATTTGATTTCTCCATTGCTCTCTACTAAAATCCCAGTGAGGTTTGTATTATTCAGGTCTAAGAGCCCATTGCTACTGATGACTTTCAATGGGAGTCCATTAAATTCAAACTTTTTACGTGGTACAAAGTCCTTGGGACTGCTGGATAGAAGCGGGTCATCCGAATTTGGTAACATTTGTGATTGTAGAGTGAAATGAGTTGACATCGGGAAAGTAACAGTATTCTGAGTAAAAGTAGTATGAGTTGATGTGGATGAAGATGTGGTATTGCTATTGGGAGCTGGTGATTGAATAGGAGTCAATCCAACTGGAAGTGGAGAATGTGTGGAAGGTGGTGGGGAGTTAGTCAAAGATGGATACAACTCATCCGCGGATATATTCTCTCCTGGAAGGACCTCTTCCAATGCTTCTTCAACAGCCGCAGCGCTTGAAAGATTCGATGTGAAAAACGCAGCTGTCAACGGTGATGATGGTTGCTGCGGGTCATCCATATCATGTGAAACCACTTGCCCAAAGTCGTTCTGCTTGGGTGACACCAATGGCAGCATTGAGTTCTGTCCAAAGCATGGCGAAAGTCCTTCGTGACTTGCGGGCGGCGTCGGATATGCGAAGCCCGGCGAGTCGTGTCTAATCAGCGGCGATTGCAATGGCGAGCGCGTCGCGAGTGTTACGTGCGGTGACTGCGAGGAATATTGAACCGGGGACTGGGTGTGATAACCGGGCGACGGCATGTCGAGGTTCCCGCTTGAATGATAAGTACTAAACTCAGCGAGACTCTCCGGTAGCGGCGAGTCCAACACTGCCTGCAGTTCCTGATTCACCGAATGACTGGACTGATACGAAGGCGATTGGATGACAGTGTCCTGCAGATTTGTGTAATCGTCTAGCAATTGCTGATCGCTTTGATCTTGCAGCAGCGAATCGGTTTGGAATTGAATGGATGCCAATTGCTGCGCGTCCACTCCCTGGAGCAACATACTGTCGGGAACCTGCGTAAAGACCTCGTCCTGTAAACTGGGCGATAGATATCCGTCCTCAGGTTGATAGGCCAGTGTGAAAGAATCAGAGGACTGGAATTGGATTATCTGTTTATGGGAGGCCTGTTGCGGAGAGGTTTGTGACGGCTGCTGGCCGGGGTCTGATACCGCGCGTTTGACGGTGGCCTTTTCATGCTTGAGTATCAAATCGGCCAAAGCTTCCGCTTCCTGTTGCGTTGTTGTAGTGGTAGTGGTGGTGGTTGAGGGCGCACGCGGCATGGTAAACGCATCGGCGTCAGAGTGTCGGCGTGATTTTTCACCACCGAGTTGCTGCGGCGGTGCTGGGACGACAAACGATGTGATTTTCGGGATCGCATCGCTCGTGCTCGTCGGCGTGGAATGCACAGTTAAGGGAAACAAAGGCGGGGCCGTATTACTGCGCATTGCATCGTCACCCTGCTGCTGCTGTTGTCCGGCGGCTGTGGCTGCAATGTTATTTGCCGTAGCAGTTGCAGCAGCAGCGGCAGCAGCGGCGGCGGCAGTGGGGGTGTTTGTTATGCGTTTGTTAATAATTTTCTCTTCGATGAGAGCGCGTACGCTCACGCTGGCCGTTTGCAAAGGTGGTCCCGACGTGTCTTTTTTCTCGCTCTTCTTGTTATCGGCGTCCTGCGCAAATTGAAAGATAATTTAATCAAGGCAAAACAAAGGATGGTACGCTCGACGAACCTTCTTGAAGTACCCGCCATGCAATCGCATGTGGCCGTTGAGGGCCGGTATGTTTTTGAATTTTCTATGGCACAAATTGCATTCGACTGGTTTGGGTTCGGGTTTGCTATTTGCTTGGGACGCGATGGTCGAGGAGGCACTCGTCGACGTCGCGCTCGAAGTGGTCGTAGCGGACGTGGTGCTGGACGCTTTGTTCGCCTGATTGGTGGTTGCAATGTTTGCTTTGAAAGTTGCACTTTGCTGCGACTAGAAATAAACGTTGGTGCTGATCACTATCAATTTATTAATGCCAAATAAATATGCGTGCACGTTGTGTACTCAGTGGTCGTAGCAATTAATCTCCTGACCGTGCAGTTTTAATTAAATATTGATGAAAGTTGTTATTTACAAAAGGCGATCTAGTTATCTATGTTGTTTCGGCGTTGTCGGCGGGAATGAAGGAAAGCAAAAAGCACACACATTAAAGCGCCATTTGTAGGAGAGATGGTACTTACCGACCAAATGCGCTGGACCTTAATTGCCGTTTTGCTAACGGGCTTTGTTGGCTGCTTTGCTGTTGATTTTAGAGCGGTCGCCGACTGCCTTTGCGTCTGCTCCATGATTTGATGAATCAGATCTAATTGCTGTTTTGTTAATCCGTCATTATTGCCGTGGCTGCCGCTCTATGCAAACGAAGCACACAATGAGAATAAATGTACACGATTGTCAGTGGGGTGGAGGCGTGCAAATTATGATTCGTGCGCGCGGACGCGGCAAAATAACGTTCGAGGCAAACATAAATCAACCACTAACGAGATTTGTTTCGAAAAATATTCGCGCGCGCCCAAATCGAATGTATTTGCCGAGCTCTATTTGCGAACTTCGCATTCCGCTCAACGCGACGCGTCGTTTGAATATGGATAAATCCGGTCATATTCATTTACGTTATTATTTATTATGCCCGACGCCAAATGAATAACAGCGTTGTCCTGCTACGTTGTTTCGTATTTCCGACTACCGAATGGATCAGCGTTTATTGATAATTTAATCAATTTCACAATCCTTTTTAAACGCTGCATATTAATTTGTATCATTTAAAACTCCGATCGTAAAAATTGAATTCCACAATAACAAACAACACAAAACCCTACTATTTTTAATTAACTAGTGATACTTAAAAAATGAATTTTTGCTCTGTATTCCCAAAAATATTAAATTTTTTCAAAGCCACAACAAGTGCAATTAATTACTCTTTGATGCAGTTTATTTACCATTGCAGTGCACTTTAATATTTTGAATTAATTCAGCTTTTTGAAAAGCAGACTTATGCATTATATTCCAAAATATTGAATAAATCCGCTTCTAAATGAACAGAAAAATCCCCCTATAAATTTTTTTTTCAATTTTTTTACGTAAAAATTAAAATATTTTTAACAAAACAACCAAAAATAACCGATTTTCCTAAATTACCAGAATTTATCCTAAAATATCTTTTAAAAATTTTATTTTCCCTATCATTACCTTTGATGGTTCAGTCGCGAGCAATTGTTGCAGTTGGCTTTTCCCATTTGAAGAATTATTCGTTGGTGGAGGCGCATACTGAATGCAACTCGATCCATGCGGAGAAGCAGCATCACCGGAGGCAGCACCCTGCGCAGGAGACATGGTGGTCGAAGGTGCATTCGCCGAGGTGGTCGACGTGCTATGATGGTTCTCCGTGTGCCTTCGCAATGATCGCGCATCGCAATACGACTTACCGCATCCTTCCGCCTTGCATTCGTAGGGCTTTTTGTTGCGATGCGTCAGCATGTGACCATTGCTGCGGGCAACGTTTCAAATTCAGGAAAAACCACAAACCACGTGAATGTAGTACTTACAGATGGTCCTGGCGCTTAAATGCTTTCCCGCACATTGTGCATACGTACTTGCGTTCATCGCTGTGGGTCAGTTTGTGCTTCGCTAGCGCGGAAGCATTTCCGAATATTTTCGCACATACCTGCAATGAAATAATAGGTAAATTTGTCTAAGGGTTGAAAAGTTGGTTTTGGAGATGTTGTACTTGGCATTGCTGGGGGCCTTGTCGATTGGGCGACGTTGCTTTGGGTCTGGCTCGCTTCACCGCTAATTTGACTACTTCGGTCTGCACCTTTTTGCCATCGTCGGTGGAGGAGACTGCAATTAATAATGGAGAGGCTTTTGTAATCGATAGGCTTACAGATACATATTTAACCAAGGATTTTGTATCAATTGTGTAATGTGTTCAAGTTGTAATAAAACTGATTCAGACGATGCTTGTTTGGATATTGGAGTAGTGTTATCGTTTAATTTGCGGACGGAGACTATGAAGGTATTTGTGGTATTGTTTGTACTTTGCAATATACAGGTTACTGTATCAGCACAGACTTAATCTTGACGTGATCTTCTATGTTTGATACTATGAACTATCTAAAAGCTACATAACAGCACTAATTAACAACTTTACTTTGCTTTTTTAATATGCACATATATGGTGACTTAACACCCTGTATGATACTATTAAATATTACTTTTTTTTTATTTTGCGATGCTAAAGAGCTTAAAATAACAATACAAATACTTCTAAACTTTTTTAGAAAGTTTCTAAAATATGCTGTAAAAAATACACCAATACTTATAAGCCAAGCACTCAATTTGAATGCAATCTTCATTTTTTTATGGCAAAAGAGTTTCCTTTTTATGCCAAGTATAGATAGAATGAATATAAGGAATATAAAAACCATAAAATGCCACTCAATGGTGGCATTTGTTAAGAATTTCAATAACTTGCGCTAGTAAACACCCTGTATCTTTTAAACCAATGGTCTAATCTTAATACTTTCTACAACAGAGATTTTATTTTTTACTGTGGACATTTAAGCTCTTTATACTACATAAGGGCATCACATCTTATTCAATTTTGTATTTATTGATAATTTCAAAAACTAGGAGCTCAATTTTGATGTCGTTTTCATAATCATATAGTAAATGAGTGGCCATTTAACATGATGTATGTGTTTACCCTTGGAATAGCTTTAAAAAGGCCCCTCAAATTTATATTTAAATAGAATTTTAAAAACACATAATGTTAAACATCCTGTAACTCGTAAACTAAGGGCTCAATTGTTAATATGATATTCGTGTCTACCTTCTAAATATTTCAAAACAGCCTTAAAAATACTACTAAATTTAGCAAATTTAAATAATTTTTATAACATGTGATATTTAACACCCTGTAACTCGCAAAGTAAGGGTTTAATTGTAATGCCTCTTTTAGCATTTTGTAGTAAAAGAGTTGCCCTTTAATATGATGTATGTGTCAACCCTCTAAAACGCCCAGAACAACCCTAAAAATGCCCCTAAACTTTGCATTTTAAAGAATTTTGAAAACATTCGATGTAAAACACCCTTCACCTCGCAAACTAAGGGCTAAATTGTAATTTGGTTTTTAGAATTTTATAGTAAAAGTGTTGGGCTTTAATATGATATATATGTCAGCCCTCTACAAGGCCGAGAACAGATCTAAAATGCCTCTAAAGTTGGTAAAAGAATTTTCAAAACATGCAATGTAAAACACCCTGTAACTCGCAAACTAAGGGCTCAATTGCAATTATACTTTTAGCATCAAATAGTAAACAAGTTGCTCTTTAATATAATATATGTCTCAACCCTCTGGAAAGCCCAGAACAGCCCTAAAAATGCGACTTAAGTTAGCATTTTTACAGAATTTTCAAAACATGCAATGTTAAACACTGTATAACATGCAAATTAAGGGCTCAATTGTAATGTCGTTTTTACCATCTTATAGTAAAAGAGTTTTAATATGATGTATGTGTCAACTACCTCAAAAGCCCAGAACAACCCTAAAAATGCCACTTAACTTTGCATTTAAAAAAATTTTGAAAACATTTGATGTAAAACACCCAATAACTCGCAAACTAAGGGCTCAATTGCAACGTTGTTTTTAGCATCATATAGTAAAAGAGTTGCTTTTTAATACAATATATGTATCAATTCTCTAGAAAGCCCAGAACAGCCCTAAGAATGGGACTTAAGTTTGCATTTTAAAAAATTTTCATGACAAGTGATGTAAAACATCCTGTAACTCGCAAACTAAGAGATCAATTATAATTCTGTTTGCAGCATTTTATAGTAAAAGAGTTGCACTTTCATATGATATATATGTCAGTCCGCTACAATACCGAGAACAGCCCTAAAAATGCCTCTAAAGTTTGCAGAAAAATTTTCAAAACATGCGATGTTTAACACCCTGTAACTCAAAAAGTAAGGGCTCGATCGGAATGTTGTTTGCTAAATTATATTACCAAAGAGTTGCCCTTTCATTTTATATGCATTACAACTATCTATGCATGTTAGAAAAGCAATAAAAATGCTACTAAACTTTGGTCAATTTCTTCAATTTTTGTTATTATGCGGACAAAAATGCTCTGCAATATTTTAAAATTGCCACGAAATTCACAAAATCGTGCGAAGATCTGTCGAAAAATTTCAGCCTCCTCGAACATTCTGGGATCCTCATACCACAAGTCGAGTTTAGTTACATTTTGCTCAAAATTTAAGCAGATTTCGTGGCGAAATAAAGTGAAAATTGATTCGTATTATTAGGAAACCAGAATGCGCGAAGAGGTTAAAATGTTTTGATAAATTTCTGCACCATTTCAGAACATTTTGCTGATCCGGATCACTGATTCTTCGAGTAGGCGGAAACATTTTCGTCGATTTTTATTTTATGTAAACATATTATTGCCAGCTTTCGAATGTTTATATAAATGTTAAACATTTTCTTTCAAAAAGTGCAACAGTTTCCTTCATTTGTAAATCAGCGTTGTGCTTTTTAGATCGTTGAAAAAAACCTCATGCTTAACATGTAGTACGTAAATGAAACTCGTAAATGAAGGGCTTAATTTTAGTGGTGTTTTCAGCATATTATAGTAAAAGAGTTTCCCATTAATACGATATATGTGTCAACCTTCTAAATATTCTAAAAAAGCCATAAAATGCTGCTAAATTTAGCATTTCAAAAGAATTTTCAAAACATGCTATGTTAAATATTCTATAACTCGCAAACTAAGGGCTCAATTGTAATACCGTTTTTAGCATCATATAGTAAAAAAATTTCCCTTTAATATGATGTATGTGTCAACCCTTTAAAAGCCCAGAACAACCCTAAAAATGCCACTAAATTGTGCATTTAAAGAATTTTAAAAACATTTAATGTAAAACACCCTGTTACTTGCAAACTATGGGCTCAACTGCAACGTTGTTTTTTTGCATCATATAGTAAAAGAGCTGTCCTTTAATATAATCTATGTATCAACCTTCTACAAATTCCAGAACTGCCCTTAAAAGCCACTTAACTTTGCATTTTAAAGAATTTTGAAAGCATTTGATGTAAAAAAAACCTGTAACTCGCAAATTAAGGGTTCAATTACTATGTTATTCTTTGCATCACATAGCAAAAGAGTTGCCCTTTAATATAGTATATGAGTGAACCTTCTAGAAAGTCCAGAACAGCCCTTAAAATGCCACTAAACTTGGCATTTTAAAAAATTTTGAAAGCACTTGATGTAAAACACTCGGTAACTCGCAAATTAAGGGCTCAATTCCAATGTTGCTTTTAGCATCATATAGTAAAAGAGTTACCCTTTAGTATAATATATGTATCAATTTTCTAGAAAGCCCGGAACAGCCCTAAAAATGCAATTTTAGTTAGCATTTTTTTAAATTTTATAACATGCGATGTTAAACACCCAGTAACTCGCAAACTAAGGGCTCAATTAAAATTCTGTTTCCAACAATTTTTAGCAAGAAAGCCGTACTTTAATATGATATATATGTTAGCCTTCTATAAAGCCAAGAACATCCCTAAAAATGCCTAAAATTTGCAGAAGAATTTTCAAAACATGTGATGTAAAACACCCTGTAACTCGCAAAGTAAAGGCTCAATCGGAATGCTGTTTACAAAATTATCTTACCAAATAGTTGCCCTTTTATTTTATATGTATTACTACTTTCGAAGAATGTTAGAAAAGCACTGAAAATGCTTTGAAACTTTGGTCAATTATTTCAATTTGTGTTATTATGCGGACAAACATGCTCTGAAAATTGCCGCGAAGTTCAATAAAATCATGCGAAGATCTGCCGAAATATTTCAGCCTCCTCTCACATTATGGGTTCCTAATACCACAAGTTAATTTTAGTAGTATTTTGCTCAAAATTTAAGCAGATTTCGGGGCGAAATAAGGTGAAAATTGATTCGTATTATTAGGAACCCAGAATGTTCGAGGAGGTTGATATTTTTCGACAGATCTTCGCATGATTTTTTTGAACTTCTGCACCATTTCAGAACATTTTCTGATCCGGATCACAGACTGCTGAAACATTTTCGTCAATTTTAAGTGTATGTTTTCACATTATTGAATGTTTTTTTTAAATATTTATACATATGTAAAAAAATCAAAAAATACAGAAGTCTCCTGAATTTCGTTTTTAGTCTTTTAGAAAATTGAAATTTTTAATATAGTCTCATATTTAACGTGTGATACCTAATAAGCATTAAGAAATATAAAAGTTAGGTTAGGTCAAAGCCACATTTATCATTGACAGTAACATGTAGCAAGTGTGAATAAAGATTAGTATTTTATTCTGGCATAATATTTACTTTACTGCTCTTAACTTTTTAATGATACACATTGCTCGTTAGAAAATACGGGAATGAGCAAACAGCTCGGGATGATTTTCTTTGTGATGCATGTAAATTATAACGCACAAAGTTGAGCGGGGCCGGCCATCAGTCATGTCGCGGCGAGTTACAAATGGCAGCGACAGCACTTAAAAACGTATCAGTTTCCCGCGAGCGTGGGCATTCGAAATAGAAACTCTACGAACCCTTTTACGAGCGTTAATAGCAGTTGCCGCAGTTGCCTCGGAATTGAAGTGTTCGTTTCCGGTTGGTAAACTCGTGTAAAATATTGTAGCGATTTCATTCGTAGCGAACATTACAAGCGTACAGCAACTTGTAACTCGCAACCAGCAGCGCCACAAATAAACACTCTTGAAATGAAGACGTGCATAATTCAAACGTATTTAGACACATCAAATATCGGTCGGTTCGTGTGTGTCAGCCATCTTGTATGTCGAAAAACAATATTCCGAATGATTTAGATGCAAGTCGAGCGCGCAAGTAATTGATTGCTCGCGTTGGCGCACAAACAACTTATTTCCGCGGGGGATTGTCAACAGAAGACTCATAACTCAATTTTTGTTCCATAGATTATCATCGACAGCGATATCATAACCTACTTTCAGTGCACCAGAGTGCCGCAACCCAAACAACAGCCACTGCGAAAATATCTGCGTAATTAAACTTTTCTTTTTCGCTAAGATAAATGATTAAAATTCTTGGAGGTCCCGAAATTTTCCGGACGCAAAAATGCGCAATGTTTTAAACTCTGATTTACGGTCGATACTAGAAAGGTCTTGGTTTATTTTTTGTGTGGAATTTCTTGGAATCGAGCGGTTTTCGCGTCGCTTTTGTTGTGCTCCACGCGCAAAAAATGATATAAAGTAATGAGTAGAGTAAATATTTTCCCTCATCGAACACAAGAAATAATTCGAAGTGTGTGTGTGTATGCGGGGAGCAACAGTGAAGAATATAATTCCCGCCGCTCTCTCGCAACGAAGAAGCGTCGGCGGTGCGTCGGGGGCGCTTCGACAGCCAGCCGTAAATCAATATTTCGTGTCTCGTCCGCACGCCCCGCTCCCCAACCACCGCCGTGCGCCGCCGTACGAGACGCACAACGCACATTTATTTCACAGATGATTTTTTATTTTATTGCGTTATTATTGTTCTGTCACGTAACAAATTAATATGTTCGAGTGCAGAGATTGATTTGTTACAAACCTGGATCATTGTCGGTGGGCACACCCAGACTGTTGGAGTTATCGTTGATGAAAGCTTCCGCGGAATTAGTGAATGTCTGCGGTGAGAGGGTGAGGTCCGGCCCGCTGGACGAGTCGAACAGATCGAATGTCGCCGTGACCGCATCGCTTCCATCTGCAAAAGCAAAATTTAATGCATGTTTAGTTCCGAACCTCTAATTACGCGCCGCAGACAAATCAGCCAACCGATAATCAGCTCCCGATCCATCAACAACATTTCCAAAGTACCCCGCCCGGAAAACTCGGCCAAAGCACTTCCAAAATCCATTTTGGACACGCGTGCCTGTGTGAGTTTTGCGCTGCGGTGCTTCTAAACGATTTTAAAATTCAGTGTTTTCCTAAACGACGAACGTGAAATATACATTAGGAAAATACACTGGGCGCCGAGTATTTTCACGGGGCGGGCATCGGCGCGAGTGCAGCGGACGTTTAGTTGATGTATGATGGTAATTTGGGCCGGACACTAGCCTTCTTCCCGCATGATAGAATGCTCCCTGGGCAGAAACGCGCAACGAGCCAGCCAGCGCCGGCAAAAAGATGATGCACTCGTACTCGCATTTTCCAAAACCTCCAGGCGGAAAACTGCCGGCAAGACGGCGCGATTTTTGAGAGGAAAACTGCACCCTGCACGTAACACAACCGGCCGATGATATATACCAAGAAATATTGAGATAGATAAATATAGATTTCAGCAAAATGTTGATAAAGTGAAAAAAGGCAAAGAATTAGGGCGAATTTACATAAAATTTACATAGAATCGTAAATATTTCAAAACCACATGCTTCATTTTAGGACTTTTTGCTTGCAAATTTCACAAATGGAAGAAAAGACTCGAAACAAAAATCCGGTCTATATTCAATTTAGGATGGAAAGGAGATTTACTTATTTTATTATTGAACAACAACATTAAAAGCCATTTCAAGAAAGAAAATAAGATTTTTACGTTGCCCTTTTTTTAGAAATTTCCACAAATCATTCAAGTTTGTTTAAAATTTTAGATATGTTTTAAGCCTGCTGCAAGGTGTAAATGTATGGAATTCAAAAGAATAACTCTTCTATTACTAAAATATAAAAATTGGTTAAGATTGTACCTATGTATCGGAAGATACAGAATGTTTTCGAAAACATGTTTTAGAAATTTGCAAAAAACGCACAAATTTTGTTGCAATTTTATGGACATTCTAATGCTGCTAGAGGGTGAAATTCTAAAGTATTCGAAAGAGTGACTTTCCTATTAGTAAAAGGCAGTAATTCGTAAAGAATTTACCTATGGATAACAAGATACAGGGTGTTTTCAATGCCGTGTTTTAGAAATTTGCAAAAATGCACAAATTTGATTGCAACTTTAAAGCTATTTAAAAACTACGTACAATGGTAAAAGACTCTAAAAAAAACGGTTATAAAAGGTTATGCATGTGAATTAATCCTTTAAATAACTTAATAATGAATATTTTTTGTCGTGTGTTTCAAAAACATATGTTTTTCCTAGTTTGATTATGTGAGTTTGATTTATAGTAGGTACTAGATTCAATTTGCAGCAAACAAAAACAGATTTAACTATTTTATTATTGAACAACAACCATAAAAGCCATTCCGGCAAACAAAACAATACGCATTGTTACTAAATGTGAACGCCGAATAGCTCTGGCCGTAACAATGTAACGAAGAATTTCCGAATTAATGAGTTTTACTATTAATGGAAACTCTACGATGCGCAATCCGATTAGGCATTACTACAATAGGCGGAACGACACAATGTGTTCATTAAACATCATCAAATCGGATTTGCTAATTGCGCCCGGAATTTCGCGTGCGCATCAGATGCGAAATCGATGTAGTAATGAAAATCTTTCTGCAGCCGAATCTCTCTATCCCGATATCAGGCTCTTATTAATTACGCCGCTTCCCAGTGGTTCAATTCCAAATTCTACATTCCACTTGGCGTTATCATAACTTAAGCATTTTATCTAAAAATAAAACAATTTTTCATCGTGCGAGAGAAACTTGTTGCAAGTTTCGATAAATTAATATTTATTCAGTGGTAAAATCAGAATTTAAAATTTATATAAGTCAAATACAGCCACGTCGGATGATGGAGCTCGTGAGAAGCCTGCCTAATAGCATCTGCTTTTGGCGAACATGGCAAAGCATTCGGTTTATAACTTTCTTTCGTGCCGTGCCAGAGTAAATGCTGTATGTAGAGTACTTCGGCATGCTGCGGCGGTGGCGGCATCGAAGGCGGCGCGCACTTCTCCACTCTATATACACCGACATCCTTTTAACGTGGTCCGCCCGTTGAAGTATAACTAGCGGATCGAATCGAGGAAATCGTTTAGATTTAGATCAAGATCCGGCGGCCCGCCATTCCGAACCAATTTAATATCCATTTAAAGGATCCTAACATCTTCTATTTGTACTTTTTTTCTTCCTTATTTATTTCCTCTTTATTATATGTACGCTCCAAACGCATACTGCTCTCATTTTCGCTGGCGATGCAGAATATAAATTCTGCACTTTTCAATCGACTAAAGTTATACTCATACTTCAAACGAGGAATTTAATTACGAGTAATATGCTGCTATTTAATAGATTAAAACTTGCTGGGTGGAATAATTTTTTTTTCTTGTCTGTCAGCGTAGAGATTTCCATTAATAAATTAACTAGCTACATCTAACTCTACGAGTTGGTGTTTGAAGTGCGGGAAAAAACGGCGCAATGAAAGAATTTAAAAAAATCTATACATGGCCCAATTGTAAGCCTCCATAAATCAGGATTACGTTGATTTCGTCGATGGGGCTGCGTCGCGTTATTTTTTTATGCAAATTGTTGTTTGCACTGAGCGCCGAAACGTAAAAACGCTACCGCCGCCGCTGCCGCCGACGACGAACAAAAGAAAAATAATCCAACTACACGGAACGCGCGCGTAGCGGACTCGAGTGAAAAGAACGCGCAATTTATGGCGAGTCGAACATAAATTCCACAAAGTTAATTAAAAATTGGCTTTTCGGGGTATTCGGAACGCAATCGAAAATTTATTATGTGCATACACCGAGCACGTCGACGCGCGGAAATAATAGAAACACGGAATGAATGACGCAGTGAAAGAAACAAATCCCAGCTAATCAATAACTAGTAGTAATTAAACTATGCTTCATTAAGTTAACTAAATAAACTGCCATCTAAATACTTGAGTGATATTTATAGCGGATAGATATTCGCTTTGTTTTGTATTGTTTAATTAATTTAGCTAATAAACTAATATTGTTAGCGGGCGCGTGGGTGGCGTCGTCCTCCCCGTTCACGTCCAAATTGATTAATTATGTGTCAGTTATCGTTAGCGACGCGGCGATAACCAACAAAACGGATTAAACACAACATTAAGAGGAATGTTAAACGGGTCATATAACGCGCCTTAATCTTTAGGTAAATGTTAAATAATAAAGCCGCATAATTGCACTTTCGCAAGTGGTGTGTGTATTCAAACGCCAGTTTCAACTTCTCATTCAACCCTTTCTTGCTCACTGTATACACATAGATACACATATAAATTGTAGATAAACACAAATGTGACTCGAATGGAGCTTCAAAAACTATCGTCGGATGCTTGAAATAATTCATTACGTACTTAGAGTGGAAAACAGTGCATTATAATATATCAACGTGTAATATTTTGTAATATTTTAAAAGAATTATTCAAAAATTATTATAAAATGCTCCAAAATCAATTTTTTTTAATTTTCACCTTTAAAGCGCTGTTTTCCGCGGTTTTAAGACACAAAAGTGGTACTTTAGTCACGGACGGTGCAGCCCGTGACTTAAGTACTCGCTACGCTCGCTTTTAATCAATCTCGTGACTAAAACTCCTCTTTAGCCACTTGATATTTAATATACTATTTATTCAGTTTCTTTAAATTAAAATTTTGCATAATAAATAAAAATATTTTTGATATTTAATTACCCTCATTATTCTCATTCTCTTGATATAAATTTATAAATTATTAACTCATTCAAAACGCCCGTGTGTCGAAATAAATTCCTCTGCTTTGTTTATACGCTGACTCAGCAGTACGCATCGCAAAACAAACGTTTACGTTTAATATATATTCAAATATATGCCGGGGGAGGGCAGGAAGTGGATCGCGAAGTGTTTGCATTAATCTTCAAGTGTTGAGCGCGTCGTGCCTTGGCAAGCACATGTGCCGCGGAAGAAAGTGGTTTATTCATGCTTAGATATCAGGTGAGAAAAGCTGCAACCGGCTCGGATTTACTAAACATTGGATATGTCAAAACCAGCATTTGAATTTATCGTTTCTCAATAATACAAAAAATACAACTTTTCTTTAAAAGTTAAAAATAAAAATAATTCTACGGTAGATAAATTCCAAGCGGTGCAACGTAATGCGTAATTCCCTATTATTACCCAGGAACACATCGCCAGCCACAGTTGGAACCATAGTAAATAGTAAAGTGTAAGTGTAACGGCTGGAGCCGCTGTTCACTGTTGGCTGTTACTGTTTGCACTACCAGCAGCTGGTGAGGAACGTAAGCAGATGAATTATGGTTACAATTGCATTGCAGCCTTTCCCAATTTGCTAGCGGTGCGCGGCGCCTCCACCATCACAACTTTGTTGCTCTCGCATTCCATCGCCGAGCGTTATGTTTAATCAATTGCACACTAGAGCGCACTTGACACTTGACACCACAACGACAACGACAACAAACATTTCATCGATCAATAATGTTATTCAAAAGACGTGAAATCCACCAAAAACCAAGCACAATAAAATTTTGTTTGTCGAAGTTAATTATTTATCCAGTTGGGAATTCATTACGATGTGTCATCACTTGCCGATCTCAAGATGTTGCGGAAAAGGGGTCGGTCGCATTGTTAATATTACGTTTAATGACAGATCGTTTACGGTAATATGTTTCCACAGATGGCGATGTCGTTGATGGCTGTAGTTAAAGACAACGGCACACGCTTGTATTATGAGCGCGCCGCCACAACTCGAAGATACTTAACGCATACATATTTAACATCCGCCATAAAGACGCGCATTAAGTGTAACAGCTGAGCGGTGTTGTGTTGCCGCCACCGCTCGCATAGTAATACTCTTCTGACGGATGCGTTACATAGCGTCTAACTTGATTATTTCACGTTTAAATATTGAAAATTTAAAATAAAACCGTGTAAGCAGAAAATCGCTGAGCGGCAAGAATTTCCGCTGTTGTCGCAAGCGGAATTTTAATGTTGTGCGCACACTTGTGCACAAATTCCGGTATCTCGTTACCAGGCGACACGACGAATTGTTTCGGCAGCAGCTGGACGAGACAAAATGGGGGCTTGCGAGGGATCGCGTCCGAAACAAGTGGATTGCTCCTAAATCTATAGATCAAGCGGAATCCGTAAACAACCGGCGAGCGCCGACACAGTTAACTAACGGACTGGGTGCAGATCAGCGCACTGAGCTGACAAGCTGTGAGGAAAATAATGGAACGTTTAGAGAGCGAAGAAAATGTCGCCGCAATCATTCTACTAAATAAACATGTCGGCAATTGACAACAGCGGTAATAACAAAATACATATTAATTTAATCCCGGTGGTAAAAACATCATTTTCAGTGCAATAATGTTGTGATAGTGTATGTAATACATTATTTTCCACTCAAGATATGTAATTTACAATCTCAAGTCACAAAAAAACTAAATTTTTATTTTTTCCAATAAAATCAGCAATTTTTACAAAAAATAAAAAAAAATGTGGAAAACAATGAATTACATGTTTTCATAACTAAACTAACAATGTTTAGCCTCTAATGAACTTTAATTCATAGTTTTCCACTCTAGGTATGTAATAATCTCACTATTGCACAAACTAAAATTATTATTTATTAGTTTCTGGATCATAGTCCCTTAGTCACATCAAATACAACATATAATACACAAGTAGAACATTAATTAGCGCCGATGCTCATCAGACATATGTTTGCCTAAGCGAAACACGTGCGAGTTTGTCGAAGCCAAAACAAATGTAAATTTTGTTTCAATTACTCGCTGTGTTCGTCGTGCCGCCGGCGATGTCATGACAACCCACACGAAGACAGCGCTGATCTCGCGCGTGCGTTCCGATTTCGCGCGTCTCTTTGTGTTTGTGCAAATAGTGATAATGGCAAATTATTGTTGTGCGAGACGACGTGCGCGCAAACATTCGCCGGCGCTAATGTAACCCGATGCGCAAAAACGAACGCACCGTGTTTGCATTGGCGGTTTTGATCTTCTCGTCTGCATTATTATTGTTTGCCGAGTTCAGTTGCGCTGCGAGAATATTGGTTTTATAATTAACATTAACAAAAACATAGATTTTTTAAATATTTTAATAGTGAAATCGTAAATATTTATAGAACAAGCAAATAATGCATTGTTGCGCCATCTAGATTCATTTTATATCACTATAATTATGATGAAATCTTCATAACAACTTTCATCCCTTATTTAACACCCTTCCAGGTATATTTTTGCAATAAAAAGTAGCCTAAGTTCTTCTCCAAGGTTTAAACAATTTTCGCACAAAATTTTATCAAAATAACTTGAATGGTTTTAGCGTGAAAGCGTCACAACTAAACAAACATCCTAATATTTGCATTTATAAGTGGAATATTAGTTGAGATGCGTGCGTTTAAAATTGTTTATGCCTCAAAATCAATAATTTAATGCTAATTTCTATTCGGCTCACAAGTTTCGCTGGAAAGTTTCGTGCTGGCGTGGTTTTAATTTCGTTTGCATAAACAACGCACACCGGTGTCACATGCCACATATTAGATCAGGGCGTTATTAAGTTACACGCGCGCCGTAAAAAGTTATTATCTTCACTTTGCATGCATATTGGGTAATTTTTCAGCCCCGGCGAATAAGCGACCTTACACCTCCTCGCCGACCCCCCATCCGCCCCCACGCACCCGGCGCACACAACCCTCGTCGTCCGACCAATTTGAAACTTTATTTAATCTCGAATTTCAAATTTCGGCGCAAAATGCGAATGCAAATTTCTTATTCACTCAGAGACACTATAAGTAAACGAAATTGCCGCCCGTGCTGCAGCCCGCCAAAGCAATTACCACTTTCTTTGCGATATTCCGCCGCGGTAATAAAATAATTGCGAGCGAGTCATTATATTAGCACAATGTTACGATTTAATATCTCTTCTGGCTTTTATTGCTGGCTGGGTGGGAAATTTTTGCCGCTGCCGCGCGAATTGGATTTGGTTTATTTTTGAGATGCGCGCAACTTTTCAATTTACATTTTAACTTTGCTGGGAGCAGGGCGCAACTTCTGCTTCTCATTTTTGTGTGTTTTAAGTTGGGGGCGGGCGGGCGCGTCGTCGTCTTCATTCGAAAACTTGGATTTCGCATTTCGCTAAGAGCTCCGAGGCGACGCACGACGCGCGCTGCTTGTTTCCGATTGCTTTTCATTAACATAATCAACTCGTGAGGCGGCGCATACCCGCCACTCGGTCTGCTTTTTGTCTTTTTTTCATGGGGCGACAGAAGCTCTAACTAGTTTCGAACCACTTTTATTACATAAAGTGTCATGTAACAAATTTTCAGAATTTCTATACAAATTTATTATTTTTTTGCAAAATATCATTTTATTTTATTATTAACAAAAGTTGAAGTGACGTTAATGCTAAGTTTTGTTCTCATATTGATGTTTTATGTATCTTTCAATTTTTATTTGGTTTTATTGCAAAAATTTGTTGACTTTTATTTATTTTTTGCCTTTTTTGATAAATAAATTATTTATTCTTATTTCCTGAATATATTTATATAGTTTTTCATTTGAAAACATTGTTTTCTTAATGTTGGTTTAAAAATTCCGAATTTTAACCTCAAAATCAACAAAATTTCCTTTAAATCCCTACTAATATTATAAATGCGAAAGTCCTGATGTTTGTTACACTTTCACGCAAAAACTACTTAACCGATCATCATGAAAATTTGTACACATATTCTTAGTGGTCCCCGAATGGTTATAGGCTACTTTTTATTTAATAAAAAAAAATATTTTTTAAATAAAATAAAGAAATTGTTTAGCCAATAATACCTCTGCATCTGGCTATTTGACTACTTTAACGCCATCTAGCATTCCAGCAATGAAGCTCAAACCTAAGTACTATAGTACCATCACACTGTATTATCACACTGTATTACCGACAGCTACGTCAACATCAAATCCAATTGACTACACTATGGAGACTGTACACTATACTTCCATAGACTATACTTTCAGCCATTTAAAACTTCCCGCCATTCTACTTCATTGTTACTTCTTCTGTGACTTCAAACGCGTACGGAAGCAACTTCAATATCTTAGATATTCGCGAGCGAAGCCGCGGGTTAAAGCTAGTATGCAATATATCTGTATTGCAAGTAGAATAAGTTGCCTAACTTCATTGATTTCATTACTAGAGAATAATATGTTTTTCATTTACCTGCAGCTGGTAGACTATTATTCGACCCAGTGCCGAGTAGAACATCAATGCTTCCATCCGAAAGAATGTCCGTGTCCTGATATGATATGGAAAAAGTGGCGTCGTCCTGCAGCCGCGCGAGCATCGCCGCCAAACTGCCGCGATCCAAGTCGTCCGGCTCCTTCAGCTGCAGGGTGACGTTGCCGTCGGCGGCGGTGCTGTACATAAACACAGCATGCCCGCCCGTGTACGGTTGCAGCGGCAGCCGTACACCCGACAATTCATGCACACCCTGCAAAAAGCAAAAACATAGATGATTATTTGTGAATTTCAAATTTTATTTCCGGCGCGCAGTGATAAATTGATGAAGGAAGGAACGGCAAACAATGATTTAGTTTTTCGAGGATTGCCTGGCATATTTCGGCAGTCGGCGGTCGTAATTCGCGAGGGAAAAAATACAAAGAAGAAAAGAGCACGGCGGAAGATGCGGAAGCACGTGTCCGCTCCCTGGCGCGCCTGCGCGCGCACCATCCATCCGCTTCCGGGCTGCTAATGGCCCTTTGTTTTCCACGCGCTTGTTGACGTCAGCATTGTGCTGCTGCCGCCTCCCACTCCCACATCGCAAGCCTTCCACCAGCGCTTCGCGTTCATTCATCGCTGCATACTATTCCGAATGCTGAGGAAACATCAATTACGCCCCACCGTCGAACCGAAAACTTTCGCCCTTGCGAAATTTCCACCCGAAGTTGTAACGTTAAATTCACACACATCTCGACGCGGCGAATTAACTTTTACTCGAGCATCGAGCATTTCGTGACTATTGTAAAATCGTCCTAGTCAATTTCGGAGCGAGATATTGTTCAAGCCTGCTTAATACTTTTACATAATTGCAGCGCAACATTTAGACGTGCCGGTAGAGCGCGCGCAGAGCCATAACAATGGTGGATGCTGCCGGAAAAGCGCGAAGCAAAGAAAAAGGGAAAAGAGAAGAAGAAAAAAAACTGCGCGTCGAGCCTAAAGTTGCCAACGTCGGCGGCATGCATGTCGGGCGAATGAATAGGAAAACTGCGAACAAGTGAGAAAAGTTAATGGTCACTGGGAAATTTATGAACCAAAAACTTAGTAAAACTTTTCCGTCGAGGGTTCTTATTTTCGACAATAAAAGGCACCCCGTTACTATTCAAAACTACGGCCCGCTGTCGTACATTAGCGCAAACACAGCGTTATTTATGCTTCACAACAACAAATTACCCGCGCGGGGCCCAAATTACTTTTTAACCAGCATTGTTTCGTACTTTTTTCCAATCGTCGCTGCGATTGAATATCGAAAAGTGTTCAAGTACTCCGATTAATGACAAATCAATACGTGTACACATAACTACAAATTACACTTGACTTGATGATTGTTGTTTTTTCCACTCAATTCCACAAAAAATCAACTTAATTTCCAAAAATAACAAATTTCACATTTTTAATTGGTTGCTGAGTAGGCCATTAGTAAATTTTACATAATTAAAACTTAAATATAGACAAAAATGCATTCCACAATATTTAAAATTCAAATTAAAATGTGGAGTTTGTTTTTATGATGCACTCTCATTAATAATAATGCATTAGTTATTACGCAGAGACGAGGAAAAGTAGAAAATGTAAATACGCCGGTTTGTATAAACTGCTAGCACAAATAGTAATAATAATAATAAAAAAAGCTGAAACTTAACTGAAAATATGAAAACGCAGGATCACCAACAACGGCAACGTAACGAGTTTATAACACATGATGAATGTGAATGTAATAGCTTTTTCAGTTATATTTGCCGCGTTGTCAACGAGAAAAATTAATATACGAATGGCATTTACTTCCCGTGTCTCGTGTATGCGATCATCAAATATTCAACAAGATATTTATTATTTACTTCTTCAATGACACATACGTTTTGAGTCAAAATGAAACAATGTAAAATGTCATATTTTTATATTTAAGAGCTTTTTGTTCAAAGTGTATATTGGGTTGCATTTTCAAAAATTTGGTTTTGTGTGTTTGTAACGCTTTCACGCCTAAACCAGTGAAGATATTTTGATAAATTTAGGTATAGATATATTTTAGATCATGGAGGAAAACATAGGCTACCTTTTGTTGCAAAACTTTAACTTAAAGGATGTAAAATCATCAATGGAAATTGTTACGGAGTTTTATTGATAGTTTTTGTTATAGAATCAAACCCCAGATGGCGCTAGACGGTGATATTTGCATTTCTGATTACTTTGAAACAAAATTATGGTTTTTCTTAGCAAAGTAGGATAATACTAAGTCGGAAAAGAAGTTAATTAGTTAAAACACTTTTTTTATTTTTTACGAATAAAAAACAATGAATTACAAACAACTATCTGTGTAAAATTGATTTTTACTTTTGTTGTGAAATGATGAATTTTTGACCGTCGCTAGGGTCTCTTTGAAACCAGCTTTTAACATACAATATTCTATTAAATTTTATCTCATAAATAAATCATTAAAGCAGCGTCCTTTTATAAATATTTCTTATATACTCATACATACACGAAAACAAGAGTAGGTAAAGTTTGTCGAGTGCGCGAGTGCAACATTTTATAAATTTTAATATTTAAGAGCAAAGTATGACACTTTTTAATCTGGGCAAGAAATATTATGTGCTGGGGCGGCTCTAGGATTTGCACAACGTCGACAGGAGACTTGGGGACTCGGCGAACTTTACGCAAGCCCACCGCCACCGCTACCGCCGCCTCCCTCGCCCTCGCCCGCCGCCTATATAGATATATGAACTCGCTCTCCGAAGGAGAGAAACTTTTTAAAGCGAAAAAGGGGGCGAAACTAAAAATAACAGTTTCATTATTTGCATTACGGAATATGGCAGAAGTTTTTGACTGCTTAATAAAACTTGGGGCGGCGCGCCACTCCGAAATTGTAAGCCTCTCTCGTGTATAGGGCAAAAAAAGTAAAATACACATCAGTAAAACATTGAGATATGAGAAATGAACAGAATGAAGATGCAATATTCTTGGGAATATTACAATTTTCTACGAATAAAGATTTATTGCCATTTTCCACAAAGAGAATGTAATTTAAACTTGAGTAGCTTTTAGAATCATAAGCATTACACAAATTGTTATACCATTTTTATAAACATTTTTTTGTTGCAGAAACTTGCAAATCATTTTACACACCCTTCAAGTTATATTTTTGCAACCAAAAGTAGCTGATGTTATTTTCCAAGGTCTAAAATATCTCCAAACCAAATTTTATCAAAATGGGTTCAGTAGATTTTGTGTAGCAACGTCACAAACATACATACAAAAATTACGTTAGTATGACATTGTATAAATTGATTTTAAGACACCAGATGATATTGCTAGTGTAGCAAAAATGTCATTTATGTTATAGGTTATGTTTAAACTTAATACTCGATTAAATAACAATACAATACGAGTACAATTGTGATTTACTCCCATAGCACGAGAAAACAAAAAAAGAAGTCAATAATCATATCAAAAATGTTGAATTGTCTAATCTCAAATCGCGAGCCGACTGCGCCAAGAAATAATCCCGGCTTCGATTCAATACAATAAAGATGGATATAGATGTGTGCCGCGTCCAAGTGGGTCCTTTGTTTTTCCGACAATGCCGCCGAGGCAGATGCGATCAATGCGTTATAGGTTAGAGATAAAAAGCGTATTATATTCCTTTGTGCTGCCTTCCAGTTCCCGCGCGTGTGTTTTTCTTCGGCTTCGGCTTAGTTTATGGTTGCCATGGTCATCGAGAGTACGTTGTCGAATTGAAGCGTGGAAAATAAACGATGCGATCTGGAAGTTATGTAGCAGAAGAGCGCGCACACGCTACCGTTCGACGCACACGCGCACCAAAAAAAAAAAAAAACGCGGCGAACGTACAAAAGTAAAAACCCGAACCAAGAACAAGCGACGCACGGATAATTTCTTTGTCTCTGATTATACGTCTACGAGCGGGTGGGTGAATTGGTGGGTGAGAAGAGGGATGAGGCGGGAAGAAAATGCTTTTATTGACAGATATTGATTGTGTCAGGTGGGATTGAATCAATAAAAGTGTAATTTTTGAGTTTTAAATGCGTTTTATGGATATAATTTGTCGTAAAATGCATATTTTATCATCCATTAATAATCCCTCCAAGATTCGTAGCTATTCAATAATAATTATTAATTATTAATTAAATTTGACCTGATTTTAATAATTTTTTGTTTTTTTTTTTCAAATTTCTTCTACATTTTAATTTATTTTTTGTTTGAAACTTAATTTTCATTTTTTCATTTAATTTTTTTTTCATTTTTTTATTGTGACATAACCTATAATACTAATAACATTTTTTGCTAAACTAGCAACGCCATCTAGCGACTAAAAGTCAATTTATATATTACATCATCATAAAATAATATTTGTAGATTACCTTGAACTAAAATCATGTTTTTACCTCGCATTTCAACGCAAAAAATTGATTTTCAATAAAAATATACAAAAAAACAACTTAATAATCGATTATCTGCCACTAAACCTGATTTAAATTATATAGTAAGATATTATCTAAGTAATAACAGTCCTTGACTTGTTCTTCCAGGTATTTCTAATCTGATGAACTTGTAACAAAGCAAGAATATTAAACTTGACAAGTTGCTCGCTTAAAAATTTGCATTTTGCGCTAAATAAAAATAATTTAAAAAAAACAACTTCAATGTCCACTACAGCGATTATCATGTCATGCAACTTCCATGCCGCTTGTTGGTATTACCAAGCAAATTATTCAATCATTTTGACAATCAATTAGCATCCACAACAGAAGATTCAACTAAAAGGTAAAAAATGTAAATATTATGATGCCCACTAAACGAATGTAAACAAAGATTATATAAATTCTCGAATGACCTACAGATTTATATATGTTACCCGCAAATTGCATGTCATAACAGAATATGATTCATAATCAACGTACATGTGCTAAGCGCGCATAAAAACCCAAACATGACAAAACAACGCGCGTGTTTTGTACTTGGGAAGTTTCTCACTTGGTAAATTTATGCGCGATGCGAATTAGCATTCCGTTGGTTAACATCCAGCGAGATAGACAATTCCTTGAATTCAAGTTCTCTGTTAAATGCAACATAAACAATAACAACATAAAGAAATATAACGAAGTTGTTAAATGTAAATTATGCCGGCGGGTTTGTGTGTTCAAAGTTTATGGGTAATTTCACGCTGATCGTATGCAAAATGACGCATGGGAAGACAAA